CCCCCCCAGGACGAATAGAGCGGATTCGGCACAGCAGGTCCAGCCAAGGCTCTTCCAACAGGGTCATATCTCATCGTCCTCATGGGAAGCCAAAGCAGTCATGGCCACCCAAGAACAAACACACCTATACTTGTTTTCAAATAAACACACTGCACCTCTAAAAACAGTGCTCACCGTTGTTGATCAAAATATCGAGAGAGAGCCAACAGCAGAGAAGAAGCACGCCGAACCTTCGTCAGGTTCCCCCCGCCATAGGCAGGGGTTAGCCATTGCTGGACACATGGCCGTTGCGGCGTGTGATTCGCTGTCTCGGCCAGGAGCGGCATTACATGCAGACATTCCATGGTGAAGGAGGATGCGTTGTGTCGTCAAAGTCAAGGAAAGCGTGAGCTGGAGGTGGGTGGTATTCAACGCAGAAGCCCGTCGAGGAAACTGGCGGAGGTGAGGTTGGTGTGGCCGGGGCGCGGTGCGATAGGACCGTCCGAGAAAAGAGGGCCCACGTCACCCGACCGGGGCTGAAGCTGGACAACGGGCCTAAGCTGTTTGCGCCACTCTCATTCGCCGCAACTTTTTTTTCGCGTTGTTCCCCCTTCCCCTCACAATTTTAGTGCCGAAGCCTTCCACCATCCAAAAGTTGGAGATGCCGTGTTAGCTAGGGGTTTGGAATTGGGTATATTTTCATCGCCATTGGTTAGACTCGGCCAGAGAAATCATCAAGTCGATCCCACCTGCCTCGTCTGGATTGCCAGCGACCAGAGAATGGAGATCATTTCTTTGCATTCCGGGCGTCCACCCTAGCAACTTTGGCTGGGGAGAGCACAGAAACCCTTTCATTACTCCATTATAGCAGTGAGCCAAGAAATGCTGTGCAATATTGATTCATTATCATCGTTACTCGTAACCCGCCTCTCCATATAGAGACGGTCGGCAGTCATAGTCTGCCCATAGTATCACACTAAGGTAGGGTATACTAACAAAAAAGCAGTTGTCCGGTAGGTGTCTTACTCCCAAGAGTGGCCTGGCTTTTTTCGTCTCCATCTCCTTCTCCTTCTCCCAAGGAATGCACCAGTATCCGAGTCCTTGTCCTCTTGACACCCGACTGCAGCTACAGCTGAGCAGAACTGCTATTAGCAAGCGTGTTTCTCCTCCCCGACTCTGTAGAGTCTCAAGTATATATCGTTGCATCATGCTTCGTAAACAAAAGAAAGCAAAAAGGCTATGGCAAAACTCCCGCTAAAAAGAAAATCCTGTGGGTTGCCTTGACTTGCAGCTTCATGCCGCAATGGTAGTGGGCTGAGTTCCTCCCGTAGGACCCCGCGTTTCGAGCTCTCGTCTCTTGGCGAACAAACTCTTGAATGCGCCGAGGCAGTGAATCAGAGATTCTTCGTCATGGGCGCAGAATCGGTAGCTCTTTTCCTCAGTGATGAGCTGTAGACAGTGTTTTTTGGTCTTGCTGACGGGATCAATGTCAACAACATTGACAATCGCTGACATTGGGCGGATGAATTGCGCCGTGTACTCGGACTCATCCTTGTAAAGGATGAAATTCCGTGGTCGGAGCACACCCCACAGGTTCTTCCATTGCTTCACGCCGCCCTTGCTGCGGAGGAACCAGAGCCAGCCCTGCCAGATCACACGATCCGGGTCTTGCTCAATGTTCAGACCACTGATCTGGCTCGCGTTACGGTCGAGACCTGGCCGGTCCTGAGAGCCTTTGCCTGGCGACTGGACCGCCAAGTCCTCGATAGACATACCCTGTACCCGCTGAACGTCGTTGTCCGAGAAGTCCGAGTGCGAGGCGAGCTCGTTACCAGAGTACCCAGCGGTATCCGCCATCTGCGATGGACGTCTATGGGTTGAACCGACAAAGCGTGGCACTGGAGGTTCCAGCGGCTCTGGAGAACTCGATGCTAGTCTCTCGGCTCGTGCTATCTCTCCGGCCTGGGCGGATCTACCAACTACCAGATAAGACTGTCGCTTGCCACCTGGGCTCGCAAGAAGCAGCTCATCGTGTTCCTCTTCAATTCGGGCGTGATTCCTAATCAAATCTACCCATTCCTCAGCATCATGGCTACTGCTAGCCTGGAAGTGGTAGTTTCTCGCTGGCGAGAATAGTCCAAACACGTTCTTTCTCTTGTTCTTGGGGTCCCTGAGTAACGCAACAGCGGTCAAGTCGGCGAGGTACAGTTTGTGTCGCAGCTTGTCCTCCTTGTCAGATCGGTAGATTGAGAGCGAATTGGGTCGGAGGACGAAGTAATTTGACTTCCACGTCTGTATTATTGATCAGGAATAGGTTCAGACGCAAAGGGGTAGGCGTGTGAGCCATGCTCAACGAACCTTTGTCTTTTGCGTGCGCTTCTGCAGGTAGCCGCTCTTCACGACGCGGTCGAATTCGAAACTACCATTTTGATTAACAGGCGACGAGTAGGGGTCCAGAGCTAAACGGCTTCGGAGTCGAGAATTGACATCGGTCGGGAGAGATATCGAGGATGGTGGTATGGTAACGTCCAAGCTTGGTGCCGGATGCGGCGTGGGCAGCTGAATCTGTGACTGGGCCATCGTCGTCATGGTGAAGAGAAGATTAATTCGTATCGGATTTCCGTGGGTGTAAGGAGGATGGCAGTCGCGTAAAGTCGCACATTAAAGAGGTTCCCGTGCAAAAGTCTGTCGGGGGAACACGCTCACAGCAGGCGAAACGGGCAAAGATGCAATATTGTCGAAGAATGAGGGACTTGTAGAAAAATGCGGCGGCGGGTGAGCCAGCGCCTAAGCAGTGCTAGTAGCCCTGTGTCTGCGGGATGAAAGTCCAAGTAGCAAAAAGATTCGGCAAGGTCAAGTCGGGTGTCGGACGAGGCAAAAGAAGTTGAGGTGGCTGGAAGTGGATATATCAGTGGGAGTGGCGCGTCGATGGTGGCTCTATTTCCGTTCCCTTGCTCGGTTGCCGTTGTATTTTTGCTGGGACCGACTGGGGCTTTGTTTATGCTGCCCTGGCGAAATCCAAAGAAAGAAATGTGTTTGGACAGGAAGGTAAACGGAGGAAAAGAGTGTGCAAGGCGGGACGAGACAATTCGCGCGCAATGTTGTAGTAGAAAGGGGGGGGCAACAGAGAAGGAGGAGCTTCAGCGTAGACTCCTTTCGCACGGGTGTGTCGTGTGTAAATGTCTTGTGCCGTGCCGGGGGTTTGAAAGACCAGGTATTTGAGTGGTGAAACTTGGGATGCCAAGGAAAGGAGACGAATCTCGAGTTTGAAAGGTAACTGGTCACCGCAAGGGGGTGAAGAGCTGTGTATAACGGATGGGGGTCGGGTAGAGCGGGACGGTGTTTAATTAATAAATGAAATGTCAAGATGCGGTGAAGTCGGTGGGCTGCGCAAAAAAAGAGTGAGATCAAGTGCCGGGATGATGGGGACCTATTTACTTGGGAGAGGCGAGTTGTAATGATGAGCCAAGCCGTTGGGGGAGGAAGCTATGGCTGAGCAGTTTGACGCTTTTTCGAGAAGAGTCAGACGAGATGGTGGAAGGGTAGGAGAGGAGAATGGGAGAGAAGAAGAAGAGGAGAGGGTGCGGTGCGGGTTGTACGGGAGAGTGATAATGACGATGCCGAAAGAGCTCCAATGACGGTGACCAGCTCCGGGGACATCAGTCCAAAAAGTCTGGAATTAAAGGTCCTGGTCCCAAGCTAGTGTGGAAGTGATTATAATTGCAGTGGTGCCCGCCAGAGTTAAGCTTTGAGGGGAGGGGCGCTGATCGGCACAGCGATGTCGCAGGCAAGAAGAAGCAGATTCGAATGCCTCCAGTCAGTACCAAAGGTACCTGGGCGCATTGCATCAAGCTTGAGAGATCAGAGGCGCCATCTGAAGATGGGCGAATAGGCGCCGAGAGGACAAATTTAGTTTGTGGGTTCCTTCTCTTTAATGCATTGCAGTGGCATCGGTGCTGCGGTACGGAGTACTCCGTACAGTCCCTGCCTTATTCCAGGTTGGCATTGTTGATGAGATGGACATGGTCCCAGGGACCGACATATATTGGATACTAGGTGGGTACCTTACATACTATGTATTGTGCAAAACTATCTGTTGTTATGCTTGTTGCTGCGCTCCTCATGTTATTCCTAGCATGTGCAGCAAGCCAATGCTCTCACCTCAGAAGACACCCGAGTGGGATCGCGCAAGGCCAAGACCCATGGGCAGCGCAGAAAGAAGCGTAGAGAGCTGCAGACGCGCATTGCTCTGGACCACATCTCCCAAAGTGCCTCATGGGGCCTGGTGAGGGGTTCTGCGGAGAGGGCTCTCAAGTCAGCGTTTGGAGCGGTTGACGGCGTCTGAAATCAAAGAAATAAGAGCAGCATTTTGGGGGTGACGGGCTTGGGAGACAGGGAAGAGGTGGTCAGGAATGGATGGTTGGAGGGTATTCAAGAGGAAACACCTAGTCATTGGCGCATCTGACAGCTTGAACGCAATACCTATACACATGGTACTTGCATGCATGTGCCCGACTCCCGTCTTCTAATCCAATCAGGAAACATCTGCTTGTCGGCTAAAAGTAACGAGAGCACACAGCATCGAGCATTCGAGGGACCGGCAAGTGTGCTGCAAATATCCATCCAAAGGTACTTCCGTTGTGTGCATTTCACACCGTTTGAGCTGCAGAAAGGGTAGATGTACTTGGCTCCTTGGTGCAGGGCCTCAGGAACCTCCAAGAAAAAGGACAAATACTGTCATCGTATGGCTACAAGTGGCGGGCCAAGAGGTGGGTGAAGGAACTTGTGAAGCACTGAGCGGCCAGCACCGCCACGTTTCACCCCCGAAGCTGTTTGATCGAGTGGTTGGGGTGCGACTCAAAGTCACCAAAACCCCGCCGGCCGGAGTTTTGCCAAACAGGCGCGACAGAACGTCAGGAACGATAGGTCAATTCCCTAAGGTAAGTCGGCCAGGGTTTGGGAAGGAGTCATGGAGTGTACCTTGGGAAAAGGGGTAGGTTGCGACCGCCGTCTCATCACAAACCCTCCTGCCTGGGCACTCTGGGGCTCTGGACTGCATTGGCCACTGACTGTTTCCCATGTGGGGCGCCTTCCTGTTCCAAATAGAAGTTTCTCGTCCCATCTCATCGCCCTCCTCCTTGAGTCCCTCGTGCCATATGCCATGCGAGACAGAGTCTCGACTGTTGCGTTTGGATTTCCCCTGCACATTGGTTTCTGACGGTCCGAACTTGTTGCCCGATTCTCTTATTTCCCCCCCCCCCGTTACCTGTCTTTCTTTTAGACTTAACTTTACTGGCCCTGCTGTATCACAGGCAAACCAGCAAGCAGGGCGCTTGCTTTGCAAGTAAGGGCTTAGCTTTCCTATCTGGATCCGTATTTCACGGGGTAAGAAAGGCACACTAACACATGCAGCCTACACAGTAAGGTGGTGTCTTGTCCGTACACCCAATGCTTTCTCCAAATCAGACAAGATCCGAGGCGCGTCATCTCTTAGGCGCCCAGACTAGGCCTCAACCTCGTCCACCGAGCGCGCTTAGGCGTCGTACGTCCGTGGTCTAGCTACGGATACATCTCTATTCTGTGAATGAGACCATTGTTGCCCGTGCACACAAAATGCGGTCCGTCACTTTCAGTTCATCCGAGCAGGCGAAGCTCATCTCCACTCCGCATCGACGTCATGTTCCAGCTTCAGTAGTCGCCGCCCTTTCGGTTCGCGCAAAGCAGTCCAGGTCCCCTGCCAAGACCGATCATGTGTGAGCGCGGCTCCGAGACGGACCACCCTGATATCCCGCCCTCCCACGTCCATTCGCTCAGCAGAGCTCTATCCCCCGCCCGGCTGTTCTCATCAAGTCGATTCTGTTCAGGATCACCCCTTCGCAACAAAGATCCTTCTCTAGAGCCGCCCGTGAAGGTCCGTCGGGAACAGCGGTGAAGTGCTCAGATAAGCTTCCTCACCGCGGCTTGCGAACCATATCTTCCGTGGCGCTCAATCCCAGTCAGATCAGGATCTGGCATATGTTAGTGTCCAAGCCCGGTGCGGCCCGGTGGTTGGCCGTTTACTCTCTTTTTGCTTGTGTGGCTGGACTTGAATTGGAACTATCCGACCACCCAATTTCCAGTGGGTCATCCGTTTGTCCCGACAGAGACTAGGTATACTTTATACCGTCTCAAGCCAGGTAGATTACCATCCAGTGAGCTCTGGTAAGACCGTGACTTTGGTTTGTGAAGGCTTCTGCCCCGAATATAGACTGCATGGAAGTCTTCATTGGCGCAATTGGCATTGGTCTCGAGTTCCTCTCCAACAGTGGCTAACAACGCCATGACCTCTACTCGCGTCCATCCTAGCACAGCACAGAACAACCTAGGTCTGAGAGAGAGCCTCTGGGTCTTGCATGATCTGCCATGAGTTTAAGCATACTGAGGTCTTTTGAGGGTGGACAACGTTCTGGACCCGGCATCCTTCGTCCATTGCCGGGTCTGGAAAGGGGATGTACGTGATTGAGCATATCACATGTCTCGCAGAACAACCTGTCCCGGCTTTGTATAACGCCCCCATGGTCCAAAGTCTGTCACATTGACCCCATAGAAGATTATATTCGTGGGTTCGATCCAGCAACCAGGTTCAGATTCATGTTCACTTTTCCCACATACCGTGGTTGGTCAGACAGGGAGGCGATTGAGTAAAGAGAATACACAATGTCGAACTTCTGGATTTCCGGCCCAAGGACTTTGAGATTGTCGATTTTAAACTCGATGTTGAGAAATGCCCAACCAGGTTCAACGGTGCTTAATTCGTTCATAGTGATTCTCAATTCGGGGAAGAGTTCGTCTAGTTTCAACGCCCACATGCTCGTAATTATTCCAGAATAGAGAATTCCAGGTCCTCTTGACTCATCCATGAGGCGAGGAAGGGTTGATCTCCATCGAGTGGCATGAATACGTTGCAATCAATACACAGACGTTTTACTTCACCTAAATAGTTCGTGAATAGATACGAGCCCACACCGAAGTGGTGGTACCAATAACTAGAGTCCTCCGAGTAGTACAGGACCCCAGAGGACAGTGAAGGCGCGTAGGTTGACTGACGACCGCCGGTAGTGGAGGGGCTGTCGCAAGTTATGTCGCCAACATCGAGCATTATCCTACGCAAGGCTTACCACGGCTTGTCTGATCGAACACAAACAGTTCCTAGAATATGGGATATAGGATACCTCGTCACAACTGTGGGGAACGCTTGGGAACGGCTCCTTGGAGACACTATTTCTTGATGGTTTCAGTGAGCGAGCGAGTCGAGCTATGAGCCTGTCGTGGTGAATAAGTTGAGGGTTGAGCTTTGGACTCTGATGTGATCGGATGGCTTTGCCCGCGCTTCCTGTTGAACACATTCCTCGGCTCAAGCCCTCGGGTTTGCGGCCATTTATCATTCCTGATCCCGCCTTTCTTTTCATTCGACTGGATTTCAGTTGTAGGAAGCGTTTCGAAGTAAGAGGGGAATACTGATGCCCGCATTGAACATGCATATTGGAACAATCTTCTTACTACTTTGCGAAAATCGTGCTAGATAACTGCTGGCCCAAAAGGTAACTATGTACTTGGCTTGTTGGGATCCTTGATTTGACGATACACACTGAGGAATACCGACTCCGTGATGGAAGAGATTGTCACTGCACGCCGACTGAGTCATCCGCCGCTTAGCTGCAGATTGCTGCTGCGTCGTCACTCCACCACCTTGGAGGAAAGGCGGCGAACCAATCGATGCCTCGCTAACCATGTAAAGAAAGGGAAGAGCTTTCTTAGCAAAGCCCTCATAAAAGTTCGACATTTCCTTCTTTATTTCACCCCAAGGCGTCTAATAGAGTCGCCTATGTAGCACGACCTTGTTTACCCCTCATTGTCCAGCTCGAACCAGGTATCGCAAGCTAGCCTCGCTTCCCCTCTTGGCAAGTGACAAACTTCCTCTTCAAAGGCTTGATCTGCAGGTTCTTTTATCACGATGGCAGACGAGAGGACCTCGGATCGTGTGCTTCGTGAGCTTAAAGCGGAGTTGGCCAGTACGCCATACTGCTTCGAGTCTGCTCGTCTCCTAAGTGGAGGAACGACAAACTTCATATTCCATGTGAAGCTGGCGCAGCCGCTACTTGACGGAAGTGCCGAGGTAGCTGTGAAGCATGGCGAGGGCTTCGTCGCCCAGAGTCCCGACTTCAAACTTCCTACTTCAAGATGCGTAAGTCCCGATACACTCGGATGATGAGAACTCAACGGCTGATCTGATGCAAGCGGATTGAGGAGAGCTGTCTCCAATATCTCTCGGCATTTCCGCCATACACCGGTGAAAAGATCAGCGTGGGAACTCCCAAGCTATTCTACTTCAACGAGGAGACCAACACCCAGGTTCAGGCCTACCAGCCAAGCCCGCTCAGCCTCAAGAACTATGCGATTCAGCACTTCACAGCACCAACCTCAGAAGCGTCCACTTTAGAACCAGTCAAGTCGCAATGCCTCGATATCGGTGAAGCGGTGGGTATATGGATTCGTTCATTCCATGACTGGAGCAATTCGAAGGGGCAAATCAAATTTCGGGATATCGCAGCTGCGAACAAGGAAATGCAGACGCTTAAGCAATGGATGAACTATGAACGACTCCCCAACTCCATCACGCGGTTTCCAGATATTCTAGGGGATTGTCATGATATCTTTGCAGATATTGTGGACAGCGTAAAGAGGGAAATGGCAGACGAGCAAAGCCTGCAAGTCATCCACGGTGACTTTTGGACCGGAAAGTAGGTTTTGCAGACACCGTGAATCCGATCATCCTACTTACAATTCATCAGTATTCTTCTAAAGGACAAGCCCTGGAACAACATTTACAACGGCCTTTTTGTCGTCGATTGGGAAATGTGTCAGCTTGCAGTCGCGCCGCTCGACCTTGGCCAGATGATTGCAGAGCTATATGAACTAAAGCTTTACAAAGACATGGAAGCCGGTATCTGGCTGACCCAAGGCTTCGTCAAAGGCTATGGGGCAGTGGATGACGACGTTGCCTTCCGAACATTACTTCACGTCGCCGTCCATCTCATCGGCTTTGGTACGACGGTGCATGGCTGGGGCACGCAAGAACAGGCAAAGATTGTGGCATCCGAGGGACGAGAAATTTTGAAAAATGCTTGGGCGAAGGACCGCGCATTTTTTGAGAAGCATCCCTTAGGCTGCATCTTTTCCAGAGTCTGAATTGGGATCAATGGGGGGATCCTTGGAACAGGACAAGTTGCTCAGTTCAATACGACAAGAATTCATATCAATTCAACGGGACTTTATGATATAGACAACAAGGCGTAAACGAAAAACGCCAGGTAGCTGTAAAGGTTATCGTTGTCTCTCTCTGATTCATTTGCTGGAGGTTGAGCTTTACGACCCAAAGTCATAGGATGCGTGCAGTGAACAGACGACAACAACCCTGCTTGCTCCACAAATGACGATCGCGAATATGATCTCATTTCTTGTGGCATGAATACACCCTTGATATGAGGCTTCGAAATGATTGCCCTGTGTGCAGGCTTGACAAGACGTTTGTGCTGTTGTCGTGGTGGATGTCGGAGAAGGACGAGTTCGGCCAGAAAATTTCAACCACACCAAAGACTGAGTCTGAGTCAACTTCGGTGGCGGAACCTTTCCCTCACCTTTCATCATTTACACCCAGCTAATGCACCACCTCGCCCTCTCGATACCGGCTCACCTTACAAGGAGCACAATCGATTTTTAAATTAGCTTGAGACTCGAGTGCTCCCAAATCCTGTATCGATTTCCGAAATAACCAACCTGCCCCGACTTCACTGCGGCCCGACCCGCAAGCATGAGCGGCGATACGGAACCTCGCCCATGTCGGCGATGCAAGACACCAACCGTCTTGAAAGTGAGGAAGGACCCTCTTTGCGAGTAAGGCTCTCTACTTGCGCCCGTTTAATGCAAGCCTAAATCCATAGGGTTAAACATGTATACACAGGACCTGTTATGAGCAGCACATTGTCCAAAGAGTCGTGAAACGCCTCTCCCAGCCATACCGCGATGTGAAGGACAAGCTGGGCAATGCGCCCGACGCAAGAGCAAAATACCTCCTCGGCCTCTCCTTCGGCCCCTCCTCGGCCTCGTTGATCCAGGTCCTCGACAAGAACCTCCAAGGTCTGAAGGAGAAGAACCTGCGCGTCGCGTACGAGGTGCATGTCGTCCACATCGACACTGACCTGTCAAACGCACAAAGCTCGGACGATTTCGCGGCTGTGACCTCACCGGCAGGCCTGCTCCTTGAAAAGTACAAGGCACAGTTCCCCAACCTGTCGATGCAGACCGTCCCGCTAGGTGACGCCCTCAAGCTGGATACGATAGATTGGTCTGTCTTGCTCGCGAGACAGCCCGACGTCGCTCACGCGCAGCAGCTCAGGGGCCTTCTCGAGGCCCTGCCGTCCGTCACGTCGCGGGTGGATATCATGAGGCTTCTGGTGCGGAATCTGCTCCTGTCGCTAGCCGTGAAGAACGAGTGCCACGCGCTGCTGCTGGGATGCACAACGACCGCACTGGCCGAGTTGACGCTCGCTGAGACAGCCAAGGGCCGCGGGTTTGCGGTGCCATGGCAAGTCGCCGACGGTCCTGTCCCCGTCACGACGTTCCCTCGTGCCAGGGAGCAGGGCGCAGAGAGTCAAGCTGTCAAGGGAACCGAGAAGACGATGCTTCCAGTATACTACCTTCTTCGAGACGTTTTTAGGCGGGAGGTCATCACATATGCCGGTCTGATACCGTCTCTGAAGGATCTCATTCAGGAAGCAGGACGCAGCAGCAACGCTGTCGTCTCGCACAAGGAGCTTAGCATTGAGGATGTCATGGCCCGGTACTTTGAAGAGGTGGAGGAGAGCTACCCTTCCGTCGTCGCCAACGTCGTTCGCACCAGCGGCAAACTTACACGAGAGAGCGACGGCGATGCGTGTGCGGTCTGCGGCATGGATGTGGACGCGCAGGGTGACGCCCGGTGGAAGGGTGAAATTGGGGAGGATATCGATGATAGCAGGAAGCAGACTGCAGGGAAACTTTGTTATGGATGCGAACGGTCTGTATATGGATAGATCAAACAGAAGATGCGCGTTCAAAGCACCCCCGGCCTCTCTGGCGTCATCTCTGACCTATATTCTGCCTCACCACTTTCCAACCCACCCCGATATGTTTCTAGAAGCCGATCCCCGGCCACGACGTTTTCACACCGTCTACCCAGCTCATTTTTAACTCCATATATGCAAGGAACGCTGATTTAATAGGTACAATATTGGTGGTTGATCATGGGCTTTAGAGTTTGGCCGCAGGCAGGATGCGGTCCTCGAGCTTCCTCATCAGCTTGTTCGTCTGTTCCGCCAGGGTCAGGGTAAGGATGGTGTGGGGGAGAATTCTAGCCAGATGAGGCAGGAAGCCCTTGTAAATGGCCAAGAACCCCTCAGTACGAACCGTCTTGGCCAGGCAATCGAAGACGCCCTTGTAGAGGTTTCCGTTTTGGTTGTACAGACGAGACATGATGGTGTCTAAAACAAGGATTAGTACGTGAGTAGACTCACGTGAACCGTGGGTTGGACTTACCAGGAGGATGCATCACGCAGCAAACCACGAAACCACTGACGGTGCTGCTAGCAAGATGCAGAGGCAGACCCTCTTCCATACCCAAGTGGCGGACCAATCTCCGCTTGGCGAAGAAGTAGGTGGGAAGCTGCACGGAGCTACCGAAACCCGTCCTGATCATGGCTGCACCGACACCACGGTAGAGTCCCCGGATACCTTCCGCACCGTAGATTGAGGTCATACCGTTCCAAGCATTGCGGTATTTGTGTTGCGTGCCAGTGGGCATAAATGGAGAGTAGCTTTGTAACCGTGTCTTGACAAGAAAGAAGGGGCTGCCAGCGGCGGCACCCATGATTCCCGATCCAGCACCGCAGGCCATGTTGATGCCCAGGCTCTGTGTCTTGCCGTCCTTGAAGATGAGGGTCGACAGGGTTTCGCGCATGGGTTCGTAGAAACCAAGACGACATCCGTTGAGCAGGACCTGGTAAATGTACGCGCAGCCGATACCGCGATAGATTCCTTTCACGCCCTCATTGCGCACAATGACAGACACGCCCTGCAGAGGGCCTCTGTACTGATGCGGCTGGTGTCCCTTATCTTTCAACTCTCCTTGCAACTGCATTCTGGATACGGCGGGGAGGGGTCAGCGCGTTGCCGGCGGCAGGGAGCGGGAAAGGAGCGAGCGTCGTCGCAATCAGACGCACCGGATCTTGACAGTCTCGAAGGGATGCGTGGCTGTTACAGCGCCGCAGGCGGCAATTCCGCCGGCGATGAAGGCGCTGTTGCGAAGGTTAGCTTCGCTGGTCTTGCGGATGCCGAAGTGCGGGTATTGACTTGCCCCAGGGTTGTTGACATGGTGTCAATAGTTCTTGTGGCAAAAATAATAATAAAAGGGGTATCGATGAGATAAAAGATGCTGGTCTTTTGTGATTGCGACTCCTATGACAGTCGGAATGTGTTTGTAAGGAGAGGGAAAGAGAGAGAGAGAAAAGAGTGACGCCGCGATGTCGGAATGCTAGTACCTAAAGTGACAGAACAGCGCGGGTCAGCTATATTGACGTCCTGGCAAGCCGACAGCCAGTCGACATGAAGAGATGCAACAGCTTGGGCAGATTCTTACATGTTCTATCCCTCGAGAGCCAGTTCGCCTTAATGCGCGCAACTCTAGACCGGAAGTTGGCGATGTGACTGCAATATAGGTTGAGGTATGTCGGGCCGGCAGTGCGTCGACCTGACTGGATTGACTCTTTTACCGGGGCTAGAGGTCCCTCAGTAAGCTCCGCGCGCGGAAGAGAAATTGGGGATTTTCTTGCTCAAAGTCAATACGGCCGTGAATATCCGTAACCATTGCCGATCCCGGCGTCTGGAGGTCCCAATTGGCAGGGTTCGCGGGCTCTAGCGGCCTGAATCGGTACCCCAGATCCTGACCAAAAGGGGGGCGTCAATTTACATAGTACTGGTCCATTGCCGGGACATCAGTTTCCAATGTGAAGGATCCTTACGGATACCTAAGCTTGTTATCAGCAATATGAGGCTAGTGATCTACAGGTGTGGCTGGTTATCTTTCCCGAACACGCTGGGGGGGTGCAAGAACTGTGGCACAGTTAGCTCCCTCAAGAAAAACAACCCCGCGAAGCAGAGTTGGGGAAGCTCCTTGGTTTCCTCCAGTCGCATTGCCCGGTAAAACGCGGACCGACTTCCCATCCACACAATTACTATTACAACCTCGGGAAGGCTGCACCTGTCCACTTGTAATTCGGAGGAACTTACCGATCTCTCCCGCGCAACTCCAAGTTCAACCCCGGGGACGAGGAAATCGTTTGCTCTCGGCTCGTGGAAGAACCAATTGAGGCGCTGGTGTTCAACCAACCGGCAACACTGTCGGAACCTCTCAAGTACTCGACATGGCTTCGACGCCCATGGATCTGGACCATCGCGAGTCGACTCCAGCCAACGGGACCTCGCTCAACATCACACGCTCTCTGGCAACCAGCAACACCACACCATTGAGCGAAGTTATATCGTCGTTCCGTCCTACAAAGGTAGGGAGTAAAACACCCCAAAATTGTGTCCGGAGCTCTCTGACTGATTAGTTTTCAGCTTTTCAAGAGAGATGATATCAAAGACGGCCGTCCGCAGCCGCATGTCCTGTCCCTCGACTTCGATGACCCGGGCGAGCTTCTTATGACCTCCGAGAGCGACGAGACTATCCAGATTTATAATGTTAAAGATGGCAAGCATGAAAAGAGCTTGCTGAGCAAAAAGTACGGCGTGAAGTTGGCGAAGTTCACACATACGAGCTCCAGCATCATATACGCGAGCACGAAGCAAAATGGTAGGTGCTCTTGCTTTCAAGCCGCCATAAATAGCTAACGTTTACCAGACCAGATCCGATATTTGGCTACCCACGATAACTCCTTCATCCGATACTTTGAGGGCCACGAAAAGAGCGTGACGGATATTACAATCCATCCGGGCGCCGACAACTTTATCTCTTGCAGCCAGGATAATACTGTGCGCCTCTGGAACATCTCGACGAAGCAATGGTGCGGTCAACTGAACCTCAACTCTCCGTATCTCGCCGCATACGACCCGTCAGGGCAGACCTTTGCAGTCGCCTGCCCGAGCAGTGGCAGCGTTCTGTTATATGACTGCCGCAACTACGACAAGGCGCCCTTCGCGATCTTTGATCTCGTCGACGTGGGCAGACATGTGGACTCGCAGTTTGTAGTCAGGGGCTGGACGAAGCTGGAGTTTTCAAACGACGGCAAGCATATACTGGTCGGCACTCGTGGCCCCGGCCACTTCCTACTCGATGCTTTCGACGGGAGTTTGAAGGCTTACCTGCGCAAGCCTGAGGGAGGAAGCCGGCGTCTGGCGGCTGGTGAGACAGCGAGCACCATCAATGGCAGTATGCCGAAAGTGGACCAGCCCACAATCGAGAGCAGCGGCGATTGCTGCTTCTCCGTGGACGGCCGTTACGTTCTGAGTGGCGGTACGAAGGATGTCCTGGTCTGGGATATCTTGACACCGCCCCAGAACGAAACCAAGACGCTCAATGCCACCTGGACATTGGAGGATAAGCGAGAGGCGGCGGTGTTCGCATTCAATCCGCGATACAACTTCTTCGCGACAGCAGATCAAGATGTGCTGTTCTGGGTGCCCGATCCTCATGCATGAAGCTGTTGCGTCACCGATGTAGGAAATTGAATAGCTGTAACAAGGCGGTCTGGAGAGGTCAATTATTTTCGGAGTCTAGGATATGAGATACCCAACCCGTTGAAAAAAGTCGACGCCAATAAATTTGTTGAAATCTCGAGCAAAATTCTGCTTCTGAACCGTCTGCAAAATATGCAAATCAAAATTGTGAAGCAGAGCTTCGGGGTAGACTACGTTGCCCTTGCTGTGTGCGGCTTACAAAGTAAACTTGCCCCTCGCCAGGCAGGTCAAGGTCCGGTGTAACCAAGGTAAGTAAGGTAAGAATGGCCGAACCCCACCAAAATTGTGTCTTCCACCAAGCCAGGTCAAGTCCACGGCACCGAACGTCACTCTGACCACCACGGCGCGCATGACATCTTAGCGAACACCCGCAGACCTACCTATTTGAAGGAATCGCAGATTAACTGCGTAGTCGTTCATTCGTCGACGATACCTTCGCGCGCACACAGACCGGACAACAGCGCAAGGCCGTGGCCTTCTGTCCCCACCCCAACACATCGCAATGCCGACCTACAAGACGAGCCAGGAATGGCTGGAGCAGTCGTCTCTCCTCCTCCAGGCCCGTCCAGCAACCGTAAGTTATCCTCGTGCTAATATACCCACCACCTTTTACGAGGACATCGTAGCTAACATCTAGCGCTTGGCGCACCTCCCGTCCCAATAGACAAGAATCACAACAAAGTACTCGATCAAGGCAGTCAAGCCCCGAAAGACCAAGACCGACGCCTCCGCATCCGCCGATGCCACACCCGCAGAGGACGCAGCCATGACGGACGCCAAACCCCCGCGCGGCTCCCTCGTAATCAAGACCTTCGACCCGGTCAGCGGCGTGGCCCTCAAGTACCGCACCACCAAGGCCGCCGAAGTCTCGCGCCTCATCACCTGCCTCGGTACCCTGGGCTACACAATGTCCACCTCGAAACCGGCGACCGTGGATGCCAAGGACGAGCCGATGGCGGACGCTCCCGGTGCAGGCGGCGAAGATACGCCCGCGGGCGGGGCGGCAACGCCGCAAGAGAAACCTCTGGCCGCTGGTGGAAAGAAGAAGAAGAAGGGCAAGAAATGAAGTTGAGGACGAGGAGACGCAATGCTGCTGCTGCTGAGTGAAGACATTGCTGATACGTTGAGCGAGTTGTGGTCGATAGACCCATTCTGAGGAAGGCATCATTTCTGTGAAGGGCCTCAAAGAGCCTTAGAGGCTCAACCGCATACAATTACCATTCAATCATCGGAGGACACATAGTTGGGGAAAACCAGCAAAAGCGGCAACTAAACAAGGCCAGGACGGGCCACAAGGGCCGCATCGCAGAAGCATCACAGAAAGAAAAGATTTGGTTGTTACGTCATGTGCAATTACTAAAGAAGAGAATCACTGCGGTACATTATCCATCAAAGACATTCATGCCCCATTTTCCACAGTCATCCAACCAGTCCTTGGGAACCTCCAACTCCCTGTAAAATGATCACCGCCAACGCCATGTATGTATGATTTAAGGGAAACCAGCTCTAAACCTCAACTCAGGTGAGGGGAGGGGGTTCTGAGTATGGAAAGTGAAAAGACGCTCTGGTAAACACCATGCGTGCAATGTACAAGGGTATATGGGGAAAGGAAAACAACAGAAACCTCAGACGCTGAGAGATGATTTAGAAGTCCTCATCGAACGCAAAGTCTCCGCCGTTCTCACCCTCAACCTTGGTGTCTTCTTGCGCCTTCTTGGTGCTGTTGAGCACACCAGCCTTCTGGTAGTCGGCAACACGCTTCTCGAAGAAGTTGGTCTTTCCGCCGAGGGAAATGTTCTCCATGAAATCGAAGGGGTTGGAAGACTTGTAGACCTTGTCGTTGCCAAGAGCGACCAAGAGACGGTCAGCAACGAACTCAATGTACTGCTTCATCAAGTTGGAGTTCATGCCGAGGAGAGCGCAAGGCAGAGCCTCAGTCAAGAACTCCTGCTCAATCTTGACCGCATCGACAATGATGTCCTCAATAACCTGCTTGTTGGGGCGGTGCTTGAGGTGAGAGTACAATAGGCAGGCAAAGTCAGTGTGCAGGCCCTCGTCGCGAGAGATGAGCTCGTTGGAGAAGGTCAGACCAGGCATGAGACCACGCTTCTTGAGCCAGAAAATGGAGGCGAACGCACCGCTGAAGAAGATACCCTCAACAGCGGCGAAGGCAACCAGACGCTGGGCGAAGGATGAGCTCTCGTCGCTGATCCATTTCAAGGCCCAGTCGGCCTTCTTGCGAATGGCGGGGACTGCAATGCGAGTTAGCGATGCATTCACAGTACATGTCATGTCAACATACTAGTGTCAATGGCGTTAAAGAGGTACGTGCGCTGCGCAGGCTCCTTGATGTAGGTGTCGATGAGTAGCGAGTAGGTCTCAGAGTGAATGTTCTCCATCATGATCTGGAAACCGTAGAAGCAACGAGCCTCGGGAATCTGGACCTCGCCGCTGAAGCGCTCAACGAGGTTCTCATTGACGATGCCGTCGGATGCGGCGAAGAAGGCGAGGATGTGGGAGATGAAGTACTTCTCATCATCGTTGATCTTGTTGTTCCAGTCGTGGAGATCCTTGGACAGATCAATCTCCTCGGCGGTCCAGAAAGAGGCCTCGGCCTTCTTGTACATCTGCCAGATCTATGTCCCCAGAGTTAGTCAGAGTTGGGATGCAGAACACTTTACGCGTCCCAGACGCGTCAACATACCTCATGGTACTTGATGGGGAAGAGAACGAAGCGCTGGCCGTTCTCCTGGAGAAGAGGCTCGTCCTTCTCGTGCTCCTTGATTCCGGGAGCGATAACGATCTTGTTCTCATTCTTTGCGACTTCCTGCGTGGGCTTTGTCTGGACGTCGGTCTTCTCAGTTGCGGTGGCAACGTCGGATGTGAGGGGCTGGTTCTCCTTGTCGGCGGGGTTGAAGTTGAGTTTCTTGACGGGTGACTCCATCTTCAAAGAGTCGAGGGCAGCAGCAGCCTGGAGAGGTGGTTGTTAGCAAAAGCAATCGCGGAAAGCGCGTGGGTCAGAGTCCAAACTCGGACATATTGAGTGGTGACGTTTACTTACCTGCTTCGACGGAGTGACTTCGACAGACATGGCGGAAGTGTGTGTGTGTGTGTGTGTGAAGAGCGGCAAGGGAGGAAGAATGAGGGCGATTGAATGGAAAAGGAGGAAGAGGAGACTTGGGAAGAAGTAATTGAGGTCGTAAGTCTGTCTTGGTTTGTGGTGTTGACGTCTGGTTGAGAGTGAAGAAGATGTTTGGTATTGGTACAGGGACTCTGGAAAGGCAGAGTTTATGTAGCGGGCAAGCAGCACCGAGCGCTGAGTAGTGGGACGCGTTGAGCACAGGGCAGGGATGCTCGCGTTTTCGTGTTTTCTGAGTAAGGTACATTAGGTGGTACCTTCTTGGGGTACTTCGAGGCTCGTACCATTTCACAGGTCGCTGTGGAAGCTGGCCTGATTGCCCAGTGCTCTTGAAGCTGAAATCCACGCGCCGTCGGCTCCCCTCCACCCCACTAAAAGCGCGTCTTCCAGGGGCATAGCCGGCGCGTTTCGTTCCAAAGTGGAAGGATCCTGTCTCGCTTCTCACCTTTCCACTTCCAGACCTTGCAAAGTGCCCAAGACCTTGCGCAGAAAAGTCTACCGATTGTGGCCCCGAACGGGAAATGCCAGGCCCAGCCCTCCTTTTTTGTCCCTTTTTTCTCTCCAACATGCTCATCATTTGTAAGTTGGGTCGAGCAACGATGCCGAAGTGGCCGCTTGCGTTCCACCCCTGGCGCGCCAACCAGGCAACACGATGTCATGGCCGGCAAACCAGAGCAAGCTTGGGCCGGAGACTCGAGAGTCTCGGCCGAGCCAGACACGTTCCAGATATCCCATCACCTACCACAGGCTCGGTCTCCTGACCCATTACACGCTTCTTTGAGTTGGATCCGTCCTCGGTGTTACGACTCGACGCGTTCCATGCCATCCTGCCCCTAGGCAGTGTACTTTGATGTCGGTATCAGATCAGATCTGATCTGATAAACTGAACACGTCCTAGCTCCAGCTCAGTGGAACCCAAGTAGCCCAGCCAAGACTCATAAGCCATGTATCCGTAATCTCGTCTAAGCATCGACAAATCCTGACTGTATGACTCTCGGCTGCGGGTCGACGCGTTGGAGGCGGATTTGCGGAATTACCATCACCAGTCCGATCGTCAAATCAACCGTTGGCACAGGCACCGATGTTTGGGTCCAGATCCAGATCCAAACACTTCGTATGTCACGTACACGTCAACCCTTTGCAAGACCTTGGTTTTCTGATGTATTGTATTAATCAACTGACATTGCAACTAAAGCAGCATGGGTATGTAAAAGAAAAGGTATCGTGTCATGTTCATCTTCGTCGTCCAAGTCTTCATAAAACAAACATCTAGAGCCAGGCAGACCAAGAGTCTGTCGTCTTTTGACTGTCCATGTGTTATACGCAAACACTGGACGTTTTTCTTCAGCCACAGCAATATTCGGCCAGGAACATCATTCTCTCCAATCCTGCCACTCGACTCTTCCTCTTCTGAAAGGATTCCTCGAGCAGGTCGATAGTCTAATGACGCGATTGACGAGCCGGTCTGTCTCTGGGATCGCGAGCCGCCTCAATGTCGTCGTCAACTCTGGAGCGACCTCCAAACCCGAACCAGCCTCGACCGCCGGATCGCTCCTCCCTGACTGCAGCGGTAGCTGGAGCAGTTGGGGCGCGTTCATGGCGGCCCGCCGACATGTGTCCGTTGCGAGAAGGCTCACGGCTGACGTACTCTGGAGGGGTTCGGTCGCCCTGCAGGCGATCCCATTCATCTGCCTCACTCGGGTCGACAGCAGGAATGGGGGTTCCGTTACGCTTCATGTTTTTCTTGCCCTTTTCTCGAAGATGTTCCTCAAGGAGAATGGCGTTCTTGGTGTTGGCGCGGAACGCAGCATCGGCAATGTCTCCTACAAATGGCACCAGGCCAATGACGAAGTCGATGATAATGTTGAACATCATCTGGGATTTGACTGAATTTGGGAGTCCACCTTCGACCTTAGAGCAGGTTCTGAACACCATCATGGCCATGAAAGCATCGAGAACATCACCGATTCTAAATAAACATGACGTTAGTCGTTGTCGATAAGCCGAATGGGGGTTGTGGGGTGATGCAGCAGCAGGGGGAGAACAGCTACTTACGCAGGAACCAAACCGATGACGCTGCCCCATCCAAATTTAACACCGCAGCAGCTGAAAAGCGACTGATCGAGACGATAAGCTCTTCGCTTGACCTTGGTCAATACCTCGCCATCTTGCTTGGAGAGACCAGGCGGCAGGGCCTTTCTGCGTTTCTTGACTTTGCCGTTGGGGGTACCATCAAGCCTGGTAGCGGGAACGCTCTCAAAGTAAGGGTCCTGGTGATGAGGTCAGTATACTTGTTCATGGATCCACAGTCGCATGAGCGACCGCATGGCTCACGCGCAGTAACATACCTCGCGGCCAAATTTGTTTTCAACCTTTTCAGCAAGAATCTTCTTGCTGATCCACTTGGCGATGAGACTGGCCATGTTTGCAGCCGGATCGTTGGTGAAATGCCGGGCCGGTGGATTGAGGGCGAGTGCCGGATTGCGAAAAAACAGTGTTTCCCAGTCACTGGTAGTGATGAGTGGCGCACTGAGACAGAGACAGGCTCGTCAGGGCCGTTGTTGCCGAGTCTTTCACAATGTGGTGTTGCGTGCGCCTGGCGTAGGTTAATGTATGAATACCTAAGCAAGCTAATAGGTAGTTCTGAAGATAAGGTTGTTTAAGGTCAAGAGGTTCCAAGACGGCTGCGGCAATCGATCGAGAGGAACGGCCTTGGTGATATAAGTAGGTGTTGAGAAAAAGCCGGGAAGCTGGCTGGCAGGGTCCGAGTCACCAAGGTATGGTGGTATGGTAGATCAAGTTGCCTCTTGCTCTTATTGCACACTACGTAGGGTGGTTCGTAGCTTAGTTACAAGAGGCTGGTCTCTAGGACGCTTGTTTTCCCCGCGGGCGCCCAGAATTCCTGTTTTGACAAGTCAGGGGACCAGACCACCGTCATGATGTAATTTTGTCGGTCACTGCACGGCAATGCACTTGCCTCAGTTTCGAGAGGCCTCTTCAGTGGGGTCTGAGCAGGCTAGACCGCAGTCGTTTCACATCATGCTGCAGCGGCCAGTTGGCTGGTCTCCAATGAGCGTGCGCCGCGACTGGTCTTCAATGGCCTTGAATTGCAGGGCACGCAATGCAGCACACTTCAAGGCCTTGCCAGCAGCAACGAACCCGCTAGGGTGGGGGGGAGAGAGATGTCGGCAGGAGTCAAATCTGATGGCGGTCCAGCCACGCAAGTGTGGCAAGTGATATGCACAGCCATATCGTGGCTGTGCAATTTCCAGAATCTTCGCCCCTGGTATCAGGGAAGCTCCCACCTCTCGGGTGTATTCCGCGTAGAGAAATTGGAATTGGATGAAGAGCCATTGAGGGAGCGTTTTTGTTAAGCTAAACGCTTGGTTCCCTAAACCGCAGAGGCAACATTTAGCTGGCAGGGGGTGGTCGAGACCGGATGGAAGCGAGGTGTTGATCTGATGTGGTTGACAAGCTGGGGACAGGCTTTGCCACGACCATTTCGCCGCGAACTCTACGCGCACTGTAATAATCGTCGCCACTTTTGGTGAGGGACCAGACAGTGCGGTCGGTGTTTGACACGTGCGGAGCTGGGGAAGTTGCACCCAATCACGAGCTCGCTTAGCAGCTTGCTGCCACGGGCATCTGCCATGTCCAGTTGGCAGTAAGGCGTCCCAAAGTAGGTACGGGTATGCCAGCTACCTTACCTCTAGTTGCCCGACCTTGCAGTATCTGCCATCGTCAACAAAGAGTGCAGTGCCCATCACTACTCCGCATCCTACTCAAACTCCAAATCATCACCACGTCCGAGGGGTCGCTTGTCAGCGCTTCCGCTTCAAACGCCAAACATACCACATCCTTGGGAAGCCACACCTGTCCCTCAACTCCCTCCACCTTGATCCGCTGAACTGCCCGCCGCTGCCGATTCTCGTTGCAGCACGCGCATTCCGGTCGCAAGCGGAAAGCTTCGAGCCCGACCAGACCTCTAGCCACTCCTTGCGTACCATGCCATCGCCGCTGCTCATCTTGACCTCAACACAGACTCATCACCAGGAATTTTTTGCCAATCTCACTCCTTCGCCAGGTACACTCGGCTCAAATAGAGACATTGTCTTTGGGACATGTTATTAGCCATCGCGCATTATGGCCGAAGAAAAGATGCAGTTAGAGGATTGTTGGTTACCCCACACCTTGGAAGACCTAAGGCGATAGCTACGCAGCCTTGCGCCATCACCTCATGTCAGTCGCTGCGGCAGGACTAACAATACATAGGGTTGGACGATCTATGTGTCCGATTTATCATCAACCTACCTGAAGAAGATCTGTCGTCCGTTGCTCGCATCTGCTTCCAAATAGAGGAGGCACAATGGTTCTACGAAGACTTCGTTCGACCCCTTGACCCTACGCTTCCCTCAATGACACTTCGAAGTTTCAGCCTTCGCATTTTCCAACATTGCCCCTTGCTGGCTCCGTTTTCGGTCGAGAATCATACAAAGGCTTTTGAGGAGTTCCTGCAGTACAAGACTCGAGTCCCTGTGAGGGGAGCTATCTTACTCAATGAGGCTATGGACTCGACAATCTTAGTCAAAGGATGGAAGAAGGGTGCCAACTGGAGTTTCCCTCGTGGAAAGATCAACAAAGACGAAGACGACCTTGAATGCGCCGTTCGTGAGGTATACGAGGAGACCGGGTATGATTTGCACGCCGCTGGCCTGGTTCCCATGAATAGGGACGACGTCAAGTATATCGAGGTCACGATGAGAGAGCAGCAGTTAAGACTTTACGTTTTCCGCGATGTACCAATGGACACCCACTTCCAGCCGCGGACGAGAAAGGAGATCAGCAAGATTCAGTGGTACAAACTATCTGAGCTACCTGCCTTTCGGAAGAAAGGCAACCAGCCTCAAAACGAAGCCGCCGCCGCCGCGAATGCGAACAAGTTCTATATGGTTGCACCCTTTCTGGTTCCTCTAAAGAAATGGGTCGTGCAACAGAAGAGAAAGGATGCTGTCAAGGCCGCCAACGAGGCGCACTTCAACCCGTACTCTCTCCATGAGGAGCCTGTTACTGAAGACGAAGTCTGGCAAACCGAACCCGCGACTGATGTATCGACTCGGATGCCAGGCCTCGATACTCTGGAGGGTGCAACGCAGGAATTGCAGCGTCTCTTGAAGGTTCATCCGACGGCAGCACAAGCAATTTCGAAACCAGCTTCTCCGGATATTGGCTCGGACAAGGGCGCATCGCTGCTCGCTATCCTACAAGCCAATAATCAAGCAGTCGCCCAAGGTGTTCCAGTTTCGCAGCTCCCTCACACACCCCTGGATCATACTATAAGGCAAGCACCACAGCCTCAAAGCCCTCATGGCCAACATCATCCTCAACAGCGGGCACCGCTGGCGAGGTATCAAGCTCCTCCGGCCTTCCCCATCGGGCCAGATGGAACACCACAGGCGTGGGCGTTCCATCAGCCTGGAGATGCTAGCTCTGCTCATTCTCAAGCCAGGCAGTACGAACCGTCAATGATGGGCGGCCCTGCTCATCTGCCACAACCACCCCTGAGACACCCACAGCCATTGCCGCCTCAAGCTCAACAGATTCTACTGAACCGAAACGCGTTTGCCGACGGCACGCCCCCGCCGCCCCCTCAGCATGCAGAAGGAACTGTCAACCAATCCATGGCGAAAGCCCAGTACCAATCAGCTCACTTCCAGCAGCAAGGCCAGAGCATGATGTATCAGTCCAAGCCGTCCAGCAGTCAGCTTTCTAACCACTCCATGGCGCTACTAGGAGTTCTCAAATCGGACACAAGGATAGCTAGTCCAGACAAGGCTCGCCAAGCAAATCAGCAGCCTTACGGATCCGCGCCGTCGGGGCAGAGACAGTCCCCAGTCGAGGTTCATGGACACGGAGCTGCTCGGGTGTATCCTCAACCACCTAGCATGCCCGTCCCTGGAGCAGGCGCAGCACACCCCCAGACAAGTCCAGCCATGAGAGCCCAGCAGCCTGTCGATCCTGCGCATCGATCTGCTCTTCTTTCAATGTTCAAGAACCCTGAAGTAAGCTCGCCACCTGCAAATCAACCCGTCGAACTACCCGGAACCGCCGCTAGCGCTGCTCTTCTGAAGGGAATCTCGACCGTCAAGGCTAGCAATCAGGATGTTCCCAGTCCCGTGTTCCGTGGGGTTCAGCCAGTTTCAAGTAGTCCTCTCAGCAGGCCACCTCAAAGCGCTTCGGATCCTACACCCAAAGTCCCCTTCCAGTCTTTGTCACTCCAATCTCAGCTGGGCAGACATGAGCACAGAAGCCCTCAATCTACTGGGGGTAACAGCCCGAGAACGATGGAGAACAAAGTTCTCTATCATCAAGGCGCGAACAACACCTCCGCCATTTACAATAATCATTCGCCTCAGATGCACCCCAATCAGATCCTTCAGCGAGCAGAGAGCATGAGTAAACCAGTTGGGCCTCGTGCGCCTGCTATGGCCTCGGTCTTCGGTGTTGACAAGCCAGCCAGTCTGGCCAGCCCACCCTCAGCGTCAGCTCTTCCGGCGCCCGTTGGGCTGCAGCAGAAATCACAGATGCCTCCAGAACAGAGGCAGAAGCTTCTGTCGCTTTTCGGCAAGCCTCAGTCGCCGAGCCCGGGGCTTGGCTTTGCACCTGAGGATAAGGGAAAGGCCAGAGAGATGACGGCTCCGGACGGGAGCATACGATCGCGGGTGGCGTCTCTGGCCTCTGCAAGCGGCCAGGGTGCTCCAGAAGGCCTACCAGAGTCCCGTCGCGGCAGCCAGACACCGATTTCTCCTGCCGATCGGAGCTTCTTGCTTGGCTATCTAGCATCAGTTGCGAATAACGCTAAGTAGGGCTTGCCGATTTGATTGAACAATATCGTGGCAAGCAGGAGAGGAGAGCAGGAGTTCATCGCATGTTTTCCCCGGAGTTCACGCTTATTTGGTGGTTGATATCTCTTCTGGTTTTTTGGTGTTGCATTGCGACGGGTTGGTGGGATTTCAAACGTGTTTGAGGTGGCAAAGCATTGCTTGGGGGAAGAGGGCCAAGGTGCATGATGGGATATCGAGGCAGGAAAATTATACCCTGGGACACACCTCATTTACCAGTTCACAGCAATCATTGGGTCCAACCAATGCTTCAGATATTAAATATGCTCCGTTGTCTACACTTCACATGGCAATGCTCGTGGAGGCGGGGGAAACATTGAATGCCCCTATGGGCCAGGAATAATTAAATAATATCACGCGAACCCCCGCCCCCGCGCAAAACCACGTGCCTGCCTCCCGTCACTCGTCGTCCGCGGTGGCGTGATGTTCGAGGACGGCCCGCACCGGTCTGACTGTCGGGCTGAACTCCTCCATGAGTCTTTATTGGGTTGTCAAGTGTGCCTTAGCTACGCGTTCGAAAGTGGTCTGATATTGCGTGGGACGTTTACTTGGTCCTCTATTGCGCTCATTTCCTCCTCGCCTCTCTCGGTATAGGCCACATGACTCGCAAGGGGAGCGGCTCAGCAGAAGCCTGCTTTAAGACTTCTGGGGCGAGATGCACCGAGCTGAGTTATAGCAGGACGCCGTGTACCATGACTTCCCATCGAATCATCAAGGTTCGTTCAGGTGTGGCCATCCGTGGGACATGCCAATGACACCACTTGGTTGAGAGAGGAGCTGGCAGAATAAATAAGGGAGCAGTATACCATCAACCGAAGAGAGGCAAGTCTGCGACTTGTAGAAACGACAAACGAACAACAATAGCAATACGAGCCAGAAAGTTGGTTTACCTGCTTTGTCAGAAGCACGCACGGTATTTGATCAGTCGATCTAGTCGCTACTCTCACCCAAGCCCGCAGGAAGTGTGAGAAAGCAATGTTCTTCAACACCTCCCCCGACGCCCTCTTCATCCCACCCGCGACCATCGACCCGGTGGGCTTCGGCAAGGTTGCCATCGTCACGGGGTGCGGCTCGGGCGTGGGCCTCGCCTGCGCCCAGCTGCTCCTGGCGCACCAGTACCAGGTCTGCGGCCTCGACGCGCGCGAATTCAACTACTCGCTGCTCCAGGAGGCGGACCACGGCAGGTTTCATTTCCACCGCGCCGATCTCACGGAGCCGAGAGCATGCGAGGACGGGGTGTTTGCTGCTGTTGCTTCTTTCGGGTGAGTTCTGTTCTCTACGTGTCGTCTGGGGGTGTGTTTCGAGGAGACGGGACAACGATGAGAGGAAGTTATGGACTGAGGGTTCATTCCAGGGGACGGGTTGATTTGCTCGTCAATGTTGCGGGCGTTATGGGATCCTTTAGCAGCGCCGACGGCGTGACGGACTCGGAGTGGGATCGGGTGGTGGCCGTCAACCTCACGGTCCCGGTCAAGATGATGAGGGCGGTGATCCCCTTTATGCTCGAGAAGAAGTCGGGCGTCATCATCAACGTCGCCAGCACGGCCGGTGTCTCGGGGGCCGTGGCCGGGATAGCGTATACGTGCAGCAAACATGGTCTGGTTCGTTCTCCCTCTTCTTACCTCGCTACCCATGATCGACCCCTACGCCGGGGGGAGGGGGGGCCAGCGAGACAACAAGGATAGAATCGCTCACAACTTGAGGCATAGATTGGCGCGACCAAGAACGTGGCATGGCGCTTCCGTAAAGAAGGCATTAGGTGTAACGCGGTGCTCCCCGGCGCCATCGACTCTCGCATTGGCAAGGCCATCGCCGCCGGTCACGGCCACGGCCACTACCATGGGGAGTCCGGGTTCGACGCCGAGGCCTACGCGCAGGTCGAGCCCGTCCACGCGCTCCACGCGCAGGCGTCCGAGTCGACGCCGAACATCACGCCACTCGAGGTCGCACAGTCGGTGGTGTTTTTGGCGACGGACCAGGCGAGGACCATCAATGGCGTTAGTTTGCCAATCGATCAGGCGTGGAATGTTGTTTGAGAAGTTTGGGCATGTAAGTTAAATCAAAGGAGAGGCGTTTCGCCTCACAATTCGGCCGAAAATGACGACAGGCCTTGCTGGGTGTATACGCAAGCGAGTTTTGGGAATTCGGTCCAACAACGAAATCTGCAACCCCTTTCTCATGTCGTACCAATGCGTGTGATAGTCGGATCATCTGTGTGGAATATTTCGGAGCCTGCCAAGGTGGAAGCTTAATAGCTGCCATATGTTTCAATTTCCTGACGTGGTGAGCAAGACCGCTCTATTCCCTACGTCTTCTCTAGGGTGCTTTGCTCCCGTGATATTGCTCGAGAAGCCAGCTGTAAAACGGGGCTGCGAAGTAAGAACTATGCAGGAAGCCCATTTTCAAGTAACCAAGGGCTAGGGATGATTTTTAAGATATTACTCCTTGGCGCCTTACAGTAAGTGCCTCTTGCTGGCCTGGAAAGCTCAATGTATATGACGTACAGTCGAAGTCCACCACAGTTGATCATGAAAACGCCCGATACCTCAGTGTTCATTGTCTTCCGTGAAGAAGAGGTAGGAGGAATTACATTCCGGTCGGAAGTTTTGAATTTATCATGGACTAGAGAGAAGTCACATTACAGTCACGAGCCGTACTTAGTTAGTTGACGTTCCATTGTTGCTAATGTTAAACAACTGACCGTAGTTGGAGTTGGTCAAAGGGACTTTCCAGCAGCAGTCTTTGCAAATAGAGTCAAAACTTACCCAGAATGTCGCCTCGAACACAAAGGCAAAATACACACTCAACGCGCAGGGTATTTTTCAACTCTGTTCCACCCTCTCTCCAGGAAATAACTACATATCCCCCCCTAAAAACTAACAGCAATGACCCGTGGGCTCAAACGCCCAAAACATCAAATATATCCCTTCAAGTCCGGCCTATTCCAAGCTTGCTGGAAGTCGCAGCGGACACGGGCTCCGTCATTCGTCATCAAACCGCAACATTCAGCGAGTCTCGAGCGTTGAACTCTGGCGGAATGTTTTCTTCATCATCCTCGTTCTTATCCAACTTCAAAAGCTCGAAACGGTTGACCATAGGATTCATTGGGCGTCTGGACGAGGGTGCCTGGGGCTGGGTTCGATGAGTCTCGACGGGCAAGGGCTGCGCACACTCATCTACGTTCCACTCGATTTTCGATCCCTTGTATTTGCTGTTGACTGATTAATTTTCAAAGCGCCTGTGTTCAAGCAAAACCCCGACTCACAGTCGGCTCATCATGCATGTCCGTGCAAATAAAGCATTGTGCACTGAATTCGTGTTGATGTAGCAGCTTCCGCCTCGGAAATTGACAGCGATGACAACCAAGTTGTGGATGTGCTCCATATCATCGCGAATTTCCTCTTCGGTGAGCCTCGGGTCACATCGTCGAATAATGAGATTACGAGTAGCACCAATTCCGAGCTTACTCGCAACATGGCCAGGTAAAGTGAACTGTCGATCGCTCCATCGGACATCAACCTGGAAAAACCATTAGTTATAGATGACACTAGATCTCGAATGGTGTAGCCTACTCGTTTGTGTCTGATGTATAGATCGTGGCGCCGGGCATGTTCAAGGAAGGCCGTTGCGTCGCTGCCATGCAGGAAGGAGACATGCGCAGTCCGGTCATGGCCTCTCAAGAAGATGTCTAGAAGCTGACCGCCGCGAATGACAGCAACGACGTCAGCGTGAGTTGTGCCTTCTGCGAGATTCGAGATCGAGATGGTTCTGGTGGTCAAGCGTTCAAACTGGGGCCGCATGGGCAATTGGGCATAGGTCTGGTGGCCGAACTCATGGTTAGGCTCAGGCTCTATAGGAGAAATCGCCACTTCAGATCTGTCGTGAGGGACGGGCTCATCCTCAGCCCACTCATGCTGATTAGGTTGCTGGATGGTAAGTCTTCCCCCAAGGTATGAGTTTTGATTCCCCCGCGTGGCCTTGGTTGTTTTCACCCATGGCTGGCTGACTGAGCGTGGAGTCTCGTTCCGAGGAGCCTCGGATGGTGTAGTGATCTGCCCTTCAGCATTGTCCTGTTGATAGTTTGACTCGTCGCTGGTCAATACCTAGAAGCTCATTGCTAAGCTAGGATCGTCAAATGGGGTCAAAGGTGGAGACTTTGACTTACAGCAAGGGTCTCCTCCGTTACACCACCTCGCATGAGGTTGCGACGCAAGTTTGCTATAAAGGAGTCAGTCGCTGACGAATGACCGGGACTTTACTGCTCATCCAAAGTGGCGCATAGTAAGGTTCATGTTCATACCAAACTCCTGGGCGGTCTTGACAAGGATATCATACTCGACGCGGGCAATCGTGACGGTGGGGTGCGCGGATGGAATATCGTTGTCGGCGTTCTTGAAGTAGGCTAGTTTAGCAATCTCCTCAAACGCGAAGGAAGAAACAATATACAGATGACCGTGTAAGACGTACAAACTTAGCTCTGCTCGAGTGGTCAGCCTTCATCATTCATCGGTCGTACTGGGAGTGGCTCTGTTGCTAGCGCGAGCTAGACGCAAGAGAGATCTCGGTGGTAGGGGCCGGTCTTACCTTCTGATGAGTGTGTCAAGATAAGTCCGGTCCATGGAGACCGTGGAACCGATGGACGATGCCATGGTTTCTGTGTACTTAAGTCAGGCTGTCCCGGGAAAAGTTTGCGTCGGAGAAGTTATTTGTGCACGCGATGCTGAGATCGGTTGCGGATGGGCAGGTGCAGTTGAGGCAGGTCCCTACCTACCTTACCTTACTTTAGGTTCCTTGCCTTAGAGGTCGGTACGGATTTGGGTGCTTGGATCAGGTACCTGGTGTGCTGCCTGCGCGGGTGAGGGTGCCACAGTGCTCAACTTTATCTTTTTTTATCGATAAGAGCGGACGTATCCGTACCTACCTTACCTTAGGTAGGTAAGTACCTTAAGGTAAGGTAGCGCTGGACCCACTTATCTGCTGGTAGTGAGCTGAAGTGAGGTTGGTTCGAGACTAAGATCCAGCATCCATCCAGGTCAGTTCCCGGGAAGGGAAGAAGGACTGCCGGCGGCACATCATCCGACGGGAAGTCTCGAGTCGTCCAAACCTCGTCCCGTGTGACTCAAACTCAATGTTGAAAACCAAGGTTCCTTGACAGGCCAGATGACAACGAAGGGGCCCCTGGATCGGGCGCGAGAGTCATTATAGGGGTACTCCATTTCTTCAAGTCTACCTTCACAACGTCAACTACAAATGATGTCGAAGCTACGAAGAAGCAAAAATCTGGCAACGTGCCAAAACCCTCGAATATTCAAATACCGTTCTCTGCGCTGAATAATGCACTAATATGCGTCGAAGGCTCGTCAAAAATGGAAGGGTTAGTTTTGTGACAGCCTTAGTAGCCGTGGCTGGCATGTATCTCCAAATTGGACGAGAAACGGACAGTCGCTGACGGGGAGCCACCGTGCTATTTCATCAAGGGTGATGGCTCACGATTGTGTGGAGGTATGCTCAGTCTAATTGACGCAGCCCACGCTACGCTAACATAACCGTACGGAAGTTCGTCACCATAAAGTCCCCGAACCCGCTGTATCAAACTCATTGTGAGGTACTGTGTAGACTGGGCCATCTTCCAAGCCTCTGCATGTCTCAGAGTACCTTGCAATGACGAGTTTGAAGAGACATCCATAACGGCATAATTAGGCTTTGCTTGATACACACACCGGAGCGATTGAATTTTAGTAGTGCAGTCAGCTTTTTGGTGAGGTTCCGCAAAAAAGAGACGGTTTCAACGAGTGAACTGTTCGCCGCCCGAAGCGGGGAACTCCCGGTCGATTGTAGCACCTGTCCCAGGGATCACGACATGGGCATCCGGACTTTGAACGTCGATCCCAGCGGGACGGGAGAAGTTTGCAGTTACCTTAGTCAGAATGTATGCCACTAATAAGTCCTTAATACGGGCTCACTCGGTCGCATGCACGGAAACAGTCCAGCGAGTAAGGAAGATTGGCACGGCAAATTGGCTCTGTGTAGGCATGATGTGCACCCAAAAAACCTGCTGAAAGTTGATGCAAGACGGGCCAAGACCTTGCGACTCTGCATCACCGAGTACAGGCAATGAACAACGGACAATACCTATGCCAAGTCGACATGTGCACAGTACCTGTGGGCACGGGATGTCGAGCAGAGCGGAGGTGAGTCTAAGGTGGTGTTGCGAGCCACCAGCATATTAAAGGTCCGGAACCGTGAGAGGCTGATAGCCTCCCGGAGACTACCTTACGGCACTGCGTAAGTAGCTAGACGGCTTTGCTTTGCTCGTGAGATTTCGAGCTGGCTTGAGACAGCCTGTAGGACTACGGAATTTTCTGTCGGTGGCTTGGTTCGGAGTCGGCAGTTGGGGAAACCAAGAGGAGATCCGATGATTATTCGTACATTTAGGGTGGCAAATGGCAACGGCGGCAGGCTGGCGTGTTGAACTGATTTGCAAATTACCCAACAACCCAAGTTGCTGTCGGATTATTCAAAAGGAACAATTCATTAGAAGGCGATGCCGCAACGGCTGCAAACCATGAACGGATGGAAGCGGCTGACTATCGGTCTCGCCTCAGTCTCATGATTGATTGAAGATGTGGAGGCGCGTGTTCCGAGTAATTATTTTTAGAGTATGTCAACACGAGGGGGGAAGGAATACGATGTACCCGGTGGATCCCACCTGCTCAACCCGTGCTAGCTACCTCACGCTGAGGTAAGTAACAGTCTCGCTACCTCACTACATTATCTTCGACCCAAGCGCCTGAACTTGTCCAGACAAGAAGGCATACTGACTTACTCGTGAGCCTGGCATTGATGTGCCTGTTGTACCACCCGGATCGGATTTCCTCGATTGTCATATGGGTTGAGACATTGAGTAAGTAGGCTTCGCTCTCGAGCTGAAAAAAAAAAAAAAAAAAAAGGAGGTCGGGACCAATGCTTTGGGGTGGCGGGGATGCAGGCCGTAGAAGGCCCACGGCATGTCGATACGCTAGGCGGTAGAACTAAAGCTCCTTAGCGCAAGTAGGTAGGTGTATTCGTTCTTTTGGGAGAGAGAAAGAAACTGGAGGACGGGACGAGAACGGGACGATAGTATGGCGGTTGGCGGTTGGGTGGCCTAAAGGCCTGTTTTGTGCCTGACCATTGTCCTTTGTGACTTTGTCACAACCTACCTATCCTCTCATGCCTCTGTTTCCGTACGGATACTCGTATGCAGGTTTTGGATGCCCCGGCAGAAAATTAATGTTTCCAGCTCTCTGTTTGGCTGGCTACCCTTGCTGACTGGTCCGATGTTCTTTTCTCAGCCCAGGCTGTGCTGTGCCACCCCGTCTTTTTCAATGCATTGGTGTGCGTTCTAACAGGCTCTGCCCCTGTTCCCTAGGTACAAATTGCATCGCGTTGCCCTGCGTCCCCATTTTTATTGTTATTTTTTTTGTTCCTCCAGCCTTGCCCGTGCCATGATTCCGTCACTACCTAGGTAGCCAAACTCGCACCGCTGGGCCACCACCCGACTTCCCCTGGAGCTTTGAGGAGACGCTGGGAAATTCCCCCCTTCCCCCCGAGAGTCACTTGGACATTCGGGGGATGGGCTTTGGTTGCTGTGGATCCCAAGCCTAACAATCGGAGCCCCATCCACGTTCCCTCCTGTTAAACCCGCCCCGAAATCTCTCCTCGAATTCCAGCGCCTTCTTAGTTGGCCTGCTAGTGTCTCTACTTCTCCCTCTCCTGGTCGACTCCTCTTTCTTCCCACCTGATGTGATTTGCTTCCCAGCAGCAATCGAAACGCCCTTTCCTCACGTCCGCTTTTTGCCGTTTAATTCGAAACGTCGACACTCGCTTGATTCAACCCGCTCGTTTTCTTGTCGTTTACTGGAAGAGGAGGAACTCACAAATCGAATAAGTCTTCCCATCCCCCGAATTACTCGAGGTCGACAAGCCAACGACTACCCCCGGGCTTTGTTATTACGAATATACTGTGCAAAAATAGGGGTGGCCACGATCCGACACCCTCTCCTCAACCACGTCAATACCATATCGAATATCGAAATACACCAAGAACGTCCTTCTCGAACAACTGCACTCGCTTGCTAACCTTCTTGGTGAAAAGTTGAAAAAAAATCGACGACGTCCTCTCGCCAGGAACCTCGTCCATCTCCAAGATCCCCTCGCAAATATCACCAGGAACCTACTTCCTCACATATTAATATGAAGGCCGTTCAGTCTCTCGCTCTCGGCCTTGCCGTCTTCACTCCTCTTGCCTCCGCCTGGCCTAAGTGGCTTCCAGATGTCGATGCTCTGGTTGTGCGGCAAAATGATGAATCCTCAACTGGTATGTCGTGCTACGTTTCCTCGGGAGCCTCCCGTCGTCACATTGTGTTTGTGAACCTATTTGGCTAACCCTCCTCATCAGCCGCTGCAACCCAGACCGCGACTGCTAAGACGGGCGCCACAGCATCGGCAACAGGAACGGCACAGGAGACGAACACCGGCGGCGCGAAGACCACCAACCTCAACACCGCAAAGCTTCCTACAGGCACCGAGACGGGTACCGGCACCAAGACCGGCAACAGCAAGTCCAAGCCGACCTCTTTCGATGACACAGACCCGGCTGGTGGCGTGGTCATGATCACGCCAGCGGCCGCGGCTCAGGCTATCAATCTATACAAAATCGGAGACTACGTCACCTGGGGATGGAATTATACAGACCTCCAGGCCTCGCCCACAGCCATCGATGTTCTTGTTTCATGCTCTTCCATGGCCCAGACCTGGACATTGACACAGAACATGAGCTTTGCCCAGCCCGCCTCCTTCACTTGGGATTCGAGCGTGCAGGCCACCGACCCCTCCGCGCCGCTGCGAAACGACGAGTACACCCTCGTTATTTACGACGCGGAATCGAGCGTCAGTGCCACCCCTCAGCCTGGCTATCTAGGCGTTTACAGCGGCTTCAAGTTCGGCATGTATAAGGGTCAAGATTACAAGCCCCTGAACGAATGGAACTGTGCAACGTGCTCGGCCGCCTCCGGCCTCGACAGCAAGGCTCTCGGCATGGCTGTCGGTATGAGCATCGTTACGGTAGCCAGTTTCACATGGTTCGTGGCGGGACTGGGCACCTTTTAATGATGTGTTCTATAATGACAAAAATTTCATCTGTAATATTTGAATATCTAGTTTCTTTGGGGGGCCTATCAAGAGCGAGGAACAACAGTTCAGCGGTAGTCATTTACGGTGGTCATTTACACAAAGGGCGGCGTTATGTGTCGAAGCATGGTCAGGCAAAATATGACTCCGCATATAGGTAAACTCAGGACGTTTATGGGTATTATATTGATACATAGCTTAATTGATGATACTGGCTGATCTTATAGCCGTATGAACTATCAACCTATCTACACCATCCTGAGGGAGAACCCACCGCCCTTTTCCTCCTTGTCTCTGCCCTGGAAGATACCGCTGAAGTCGACATCACCCAAATCTGCTGCACTCTGCCCGCGCACGGGGGCATTCGGTTCGTGTCTTCGCCTCTTCTCCTGGCCGGCTTTGCTGGGGAACGTTGGGAACATGCCCTCCTTCTTGGGCTTCGGATCCTCCCTGAAATACTTGTGCTCCAGCATCTCCTTCGCCGACGGCCGCGAATCCGGGTTCAACGAGAGTAGATCGTTGAGTAGCTTACACCCGGCATTCGTCAGCGTCGTAAACTTGGTCCGTATCATGGACGCCGTCGCGTTCGGTGTCTTTGGGAAACGCAAGGAACGCGCGTTCGGCAAGCTCCTGAACGAGGGCCACGTCTCCTGCGTCGGCACGCCGCAGAGCTCAAATATCTTGGTCACCTGGTCGACCTCGTTGGTGCCCTGCAGCAGCGGCTCCCGCGTCAGGAGCTCGCCAAAGATGCAGCCTACGCTCCACATGTCGACGGCCTTGCCGTAGGCCCTAGCACCGAGGAGCAGCTCGGGCGAACGGTACCACAGCGTTACCACGAGCTGCGTCAGCTTTGGGGGAGGGTCGCCGACGTACCGCGCCATGCCAAAGTCTGCTATCTTGAGCAGGCCGCGGTTGTTGAGGAGGAGGTTCGAGGTCTTGAGGTCGCGGTGGAGGATCCAGTTGTCGTGGAGGTACGCGATGCCGGCTGTCAGTTGGCGGAGGAGGGTTTTGACTTCGGATAGGAGGAAAGGTTCGGGCATGTCTTCCAAGATGGTCTTGAGATCGTGTTCGACAAACTCTAGTACTAGAAAGATGCTGTAGATCTGTTATTAGCATTAACTCCATGGAAAGCAGGTCGGTAGGTTGATCATGTACTTTTCAATTTTTGAAGTGTCGTCTCCCACCACAACCTCCTCGAGATTGACAATGTTGCGATGGCTGCAGTCTCGCAGGATCTGGATCTCTCGCAAACCCGTCACCGGTAGCCCGTTGCGATCACTAGGTTCAATCTTCAACCTCTTCAGCGCAACGACCTTGCCACTAGAGTTTTCCCTTGCCCGCGACACCCAGCCGTATGTACCTTCCTCGATATCGTTGAGCTTGTCATAATTCTCCACGCTCCGACACTTCCCCCAGTGGCCGAAAGGGAAGCGCATGAGCTTCGCCGTGCCATCTTTGGCAGCATCGGATGCACTATCGTTGCTGGCTGTCCTGTCTTCCGTCTCGGGCGTAAACTTGCGCCGTTTCGCTGGTCGTGTGCTGTTGTCGTCGTCATCGACGTCGTTGTCGGTGCCATTGTTGCTCTTCGCCCTCGCCTGCTGCGTCAAGCGTTCCGCCTCGGCCTTGCGCGCCTTTTCGGCCTTTGAACGCTTCTTCTCCTCCTTTTCTCGCTTCAATTTAGCTTCGTAGGCTGCGTCCTCTTCGCTGTCTGCCCACCTCGACTTGGCGTTGCTCGCCATGGTCGGCGGCTGCGCAGATATTTGTGGTTGCGCGGATGATAGCTCCTTTCGCTTGACAAGAGTGCGAGGTATTGCATCCAGAGATTCCGTCTCACGAGCAAGGTTGTCGGGGGCTTTGCGTGGTAGTTTCGTTGTGGTTCATGCAACATAGGATAATGGCTCACGGCTTGTAATCGCGCTGCCGTCGAGGTGGTTTACCAGTGACGCAGGGGTCATGCGCGGCGAGTCGGCGGCTTCCCTGCTCCGACTTTGTCTCATTCTTTTGTTTTTTCGGAGACCCGGCGACGGGAGCTCATGCAAGTCAGCCAGAACTTTACCGGGGTTTTTGAGGTTCTCTCCTTATCTTATCGTAACCCAAAAAGTTTGTACCGTACCTTACCTAGACGAAGCTCCGGAAGCTCTGTCTCTCCTACCCGGCTAACTCTGGTCGCTAGAAACTCTACCCAAGTCCCGTCCCGGAACCGAAAACGAAACAATCGAACGAAGTCAACGAACCGAGACACATACAAGCCTACCTGTTTTGCTAAGAACAAGAAACATATGGCCGTATCTTCGTTACACATGCGCATGTCCCACTAGATAGGGACTACGTTTCAGTTTCTCGAGAAATCCCGCGATGATCCCTACAACACGTACATGATTTGAAGCCAAGGAATCTACACATAAGAGAGAAGAAGACACAAAGCGTGACTAGGAAGCAAAATGCAACGACTTTCTCATCAAAGAGCCTTGTTGGACGGCCTACGAAGCGCTGCCATAATCCGTGCTGCGCAGCGGCCCTGCGCAGCACTATCTTCGAGATGCTTTTCAAGCACGGTGTCAAGGCGGGACGGGGATGAGAGGAAATGGTCCACGCCTTTGGCAAAGCAGCTGGCCGAGGCCATCTCGGTATGTATCAACGCCCTCGTGGTCACTTGATTGCCTCCGTCTAATGTTTTCGTATCGTAGATGACCGGTCCCGTCCCTCTTGCGAGCTACATGCGCATGTGTCTGACTGGCGACATTGACGGCTATTATACGGGATTGGCCGAGGAGAACAGAGACCAGTTCGGCTTAAAGGGAGACTTTGTCACATCGCCCGAGATTTCCCAGATATTTGGCGAGCTGATTGGCATCTGGTTCGTCGCAGAGTGGTTGAGCCAGGGCAAGCCCCAGAATGGCGTTGAGCTCATTGAGGTCGGCCCCGGACGCGGCACTTTGATGGACGATATGCTTCGTGTAAGTAGGATTGCTCTCCTTTGGTGGGCGAACATGCGCAACTGACTGTCCATGCTCAGACGATGCAGAATTTCAAGGGCTTTGCTCAAAGCATCGACGCTATTTACATGGTTGAGGCCAGCCCTCAGCTTCGTGAAGCGCAGAAGAACCTCCTTTGCGGCCCTGACGCGCCCATGACTGAATCTAAAGTCGGCTATCACAGTGTCTGCAAGCGCACCAACTTACCCATCGTCTGGACCGAGACCATAAAGTCCATTCCCCAAAGTAAGCATGGAAATCCGTGGCCTCTTCTGGATGATGAGTAGGCTGACACTATCCATAGGCCCCGAGAAAATGCCGCTAATGGTGGCACACGAATTCTTCGATGCGCTTCCCATCCACGCCTTCCAGGCCGTCACAGTGCCGCCTCCGGTACCCAAAGAGCCAATACCAGGAAGTTCCGCCCCAAGAAACCACCCTCGTGAAGCCGAAGGGCCCAAGGTCGAATGGCGCGAGATGCTCGTCTCGCCAACCCCGCCAGATGCTACCCACGCAACAATGAACATACCCAAATCCGAGCAGGGCGACCCTATCCCCGATTTCCAAATGACGCTCGCCTCGGGCCCAACACGCCACTCGCGTTACGTCCCTGAGACCTCATCCCGCTACCGCCGTCTAAGGGACACCGTCCCGGACGCCGTCGCCGAGATCTGCCCCGACGCCTCCATTTACGCCGCCGACTTTGCCAGCCGCATCGGCGGCTCAAAGCAGCACCCCAAACCCCGCCCTTCGGGCGCGGCACTGATCCTGGATTACGGCACAACCGACACCGTTCCAATTAACTCCTTGAGAGGAATCCGCCGCCACCGTCGCGTCAGTCCCTTCTCGGAACCCGGCCTCGTCGACTTGAGCGCTGACGTCGACTTCATCGCCATCGCGGAGGCAGCGATGCGAGCGAGCGAAGGTGTCGAGGTCCATGGACCCGTCGACCAGGGCGCATTCCTAGGCCAGATGGGCATCAAAGAGCGTGCCGAGGTGCTGATCAAGCAAACCAAGGCCAAGGCGGCCACCGATAAGGCACAGGACATCGAGGGTGCTTGGAAGCGTCTTGTTGACCGTGGTCCCGGTGGCATGGGCAAGGTCTACAAGGCCATGGCTATCTTGCCCGAGAACAGTGGACAGAGGCGTCCCGTCGGCTTTGGCGGCGATGTGTAAAAAATTGTTGTGTATAACTAGTAGCCACTTGTGAAATGATACCACCCGAGAGCAATGAATACCCACAATCACAGTTCTGTCGAGAAAAACCAAACCGCATTATTTGCGATCATATGATTGACATTGTGGTACTTCCCACCTCTACATGACAATGAACATTCTCTCCTGAATGACGGAAACCGAGTGAACTACGCCAACGCCGCCCTTGAAGTGCATATTTTACACTGCAATTACGCAATTGCTGCTTTTGCCAGATGCCCGGAACCCAAAAAAGACCGTCTATTTCTTGCTTACAAGCGTAGCGTCTTCCTCATCAGAATCATCCGAGAACCTATCGCCATCTTCTCCCACTGCAAAGATGGTCTCTCCGTCCAAAGATTCGCGCGGAATATGTCTTTGTGGCTGCGTTTGAGGCATACTTGCAGGTGCGGCAGAGGAGCCACCATGACCAGGGGTAGAAGACTGAGGTGTCGTGTTATTCTTGCCCAGCTGGGCCTCCTCGTCGTCGTCCGAGTCATCAATACCGCCAATATCAGCCATCGTGAACGTGCCATCATCGTCTTGCGCGATTTCGTCACTCATAGCGAAGCGTCGGTTGTTCGCCGTTGGTCTCCAGACATAAGCAATGAACGCTACGTCGGCAAAGTAAACGAGGTTCAGCCAGCCATCGAGAACGAACCACCGCGACTTCCAATGGAAGGGAACGTAGTCGGGGTCGTTCACTGACGCGAAGCTGAAGCTGTTGAAGAAAAAGAAGCCAAAGATGACGAAAATGCTGATCAGGATACACCACCATAGCTTTTTATACATGGCTTCTTTCGCATGCTGCTTGCGCTCACGCAGATCCTTGAGGGTGAAGTTCAGGGAGTTCAGGGTCCATATGTAGAAACCGGTAAGCGTGCCTGCGAGAGGGAGGACAATAAGAAGCACGAAAGGTCCTATAGCATCTTAGTACATGACGTTCGAAATTATTGGCGGTGCCAGGTTGTGACAGCTTACCAGCAGCGTCTGGGGTAATCAGCAAGCTAGTGATCGCATACACGAGCCCGAAGACAAAGTGAGCAATTGCAAGCCAGCGTACCCAGATCATAGTTCGCCCAAGCGTGTGTTTCACGACACCATAGCCCATGCAGACAATGAGCAATAGGAAGAAAGAGAAAGAGTTGCGAGCGGCGTTCAAGATGGCTACTACGACTAGCAGCACCTTGGAGCCGATATTTGCGCCGTTTCGGTTGAGGTAGTCTACTTTGGGTCAATTGAATTCCTTGCAGCCGAGGAAAGCTGGCCTTACCATAGAAGCCCCACGTCAAGAGCATTTCTATTACTAGGAAGATGATAATGGCCGTGATGTAGTTTTGAACAGGTACTATGATTGTTGGTTTAGTAATAACAGCATTGGACCTTTCAACTTACGAATATCATGTCGGTGCTGGTAGTATAGAAAGCCCCAAAATCTAAACAAAATCAGTCAAGGTCGACGGAGGTGCAGATGGGCGGTCAGATAACGTACACGGCAACTAAAGCATAAAGAATAGTAATTCCTCCGTAGAAGGGTAGTTTCGGGATCTGAGTCGCAGGCAGTTCGCCATAGGCATTACGGAACTCCACGACGGCAGTAAACTCGCCCGCAGTGAACTTATCGGTTAGGACGCAGTAGTAGCCAGTCTTCCTGATCATATATTTGGTGCTCTGGGGTTCCTTGAGGTGAATAGCTTTCGTTTCGATAATATTCTTCGACTTGGTCGTGGCCTCTTTATCGATGATGAACTTGCCAATGTCCGTCTCGTTGCAATAGTTCTTCTTAACGTATGCGTCCTGGCAAATGCCGATTTTCTGTAGAAACGGAGTGTCAGTCACCCGTTACAACTGTGCATCGAGCCTGTTCGACGAGGGCATCTCACATTCTCTGCATCCGGGGTCTCTCGGACGCCGATCAAGTCCTCATCTTTCCACTCAAAGATGACCAAGCTCACAGTAGGATCCTGGTCCGCCGGTGCCTCCTTCGGAAGGAACATGATATTGATGTACGGGTCGACAGGTCCGCCCCAAGCGCTGCGACTGTACATGCCTGTGTTGGACTTGTATCAGCATCGTTTTGCATAGAATATGTACGCTCTCTAGCCACCGTCAAACTCACCTGAGCATCTCTGTCTGTTTTCGTCCGTTTGGTCCTGCAGAGGCGAACTCGAATCAGCTTCCGATTCCAGCGTAGTAGGCATGTCGCAATCAATGCTTCACGATAGAAGCCTTACCATCTTCACTTCCAGCGCATCGGCCGCCCAAAGGGACATGCCCAGGACAGAGGCACAAAGCCAGGCCTTCATTTTGAGGACAGCTTCGGCAGAGAGGAAGACTGCAACGGGTAGCAGGTAATAAGGTTTGGTAGACTAGAAGCCGAGGGGAGGCGGTTGGTTCGTGATGCCCGCCCAAGGTGTCAAGCTCCAACAGGCAGCTCTATCTACGACGAGGTTGTTGAGACGATGGTCGCGTGGAGCATGCCGAATCGGAAGATGGCATGCGACTGGAGTGCCGTTGGCAGATGGCGTTGGCAGATCGCGAAATTCAGCAAATCCGGCCAATTCGGATACGTTGCGCGGAGATGGTGTCGAAGGGAGCTTGTAGCAGCAGATGGAAGTCTGTTAGTGCCAGCTTGCGCGAAACTTGCAGCGTGAGGGAGGTAGGTACCTACGTGCCAAGCTTCGAAGTACGTACGCCTACTGCTGGAACTTGCAACACTTGAAGACGGGAGTTTCATTGGCCATTGGGCCTTGGTACCTTGCTCTACTGGATTGTACGCTGAGCTGCTAGTTGAAACGTAGGTACCTTTCCGGGCACTGAGTGATACCTTAGGCAACTTGAGCGCTACCGTATCGAAGGTAAGGGAGCCTACCTAGGCACCTTACGTTTCCCGTACTTAAAACTACCTAGGTAGGTACCTTAAGGTAGGCAGGACTATCGCGCCCCTCCGGCTCAGGTTGGCTCGATTTTGACTTTCGTAATTATTGTATGACAAGGCTGCGACCACACATCCTTCTCTCCGACGTCGCGCCATCACAACTCAGCCAGCCTCGTGCGTCCGTATATATTTTCACCCGGCCCAGCACCCATTGACGACGAAAATGGGTAAGAACACGGACAAACTCTACATCACCCATTCCGAGTGGTCATCATCGGATGCATACTCTGCCAGCGCCGGCGCCAACGTCAATGCGCGGTCGCGAGGATCCTTTCGCCGTCTGCCCTTCAACTTTTGCGCCGCCAGCCTCCAGCCCTTTAAGAATCCGGTCTGCACCAAGGATGGAACTATTTTCGACGTTGAAATCATAAGCTCATGGTTGGACAAGCACAACACAAACCCTGTCAATGGCGAGCCATTGAGCGCCAAAGACCTAATCAAGCTTAACTTTTCAAGAAACGCCGAGACCGACTCGAGGAGCGCAGGCCTGAGCGATGGCCAGGGTGATCTGATCGATCCTGTCACCTTCAAGGTCTTCACAGACAATACCCACATCGTTGCGATTCGACATGGAACATATGCCAATGTATTCGCGTGGGAGACCGTCGAACGAATGAACATCAAGGCGAAGAACTGGCAAGACCTCGTTGATGACGAAAAATTTACGAGAGCGGATATCATCACCTTGCAGGATCCCCAGAACGCTGCCAGCAGAGACCTGAGTCAGTTCAAGTACCTCAAAGACGGCGAGGATGCCGTCCTAACCAAGGAGCAAGAGGAGGAGCGGAAGAACGGCAACGTCAATATCGATGCGCTGGGTAGAATTGGTGACAAGGTTCTGCGGGCAAAGGAGGCCGTCGAGAAAGCGCGGAAAGAACGCGATGGAGGCGTCGACGTCAACCGGTCTTCTGGTGCCGTTGTAAGAGCGGTGTCGACAGCACAACGGAAGTCTATGGTCACGGAGAAGAAGGTCCCGTCTAATGCTGCGATATATACAACCGGCAGAGCTGCCGCCAGTTTTACCAGCACGGGCCTCACACCCGAGACGAGCGGCGAGCGGGCACTGTTGACTGACGAAGAATACATGCTCAAGCCGAAACGGGTCAAGATCAATGGTTATGTCCGTATAGAGACAAATTTGGGCGACCTTAACATTGAACTGTATCCCGAATACGCACCTCGCGCGGTATGGAACTTCACAAGACTAGCCCAGAAGGGCTACTATAAGGGGGTCACCTTCCACCGAAACATCAGGAACTTCATGCTCCAGGGAGGCGATCCTTCGGGCACAGGCAAGGGCGGTACCAGCATCTGGGGAAAGAACTTTGAAGATGAGTTCGATGGCCCTTTGACGCACGATGCTCGAGGTGTCCTCAGTATGGCAAACAAAGGCAAGAATACCAATTCTAGCCAATTCTTCATCATCTATCGACCAACGAAGCACCTAGATAACAAGCACACTGTATTTGGCAAGGCAGTCGGCGGACTAGACGTCTTGTCCAAGATGGAAGACGTTCCTACCGACGGATCTGACAGACCCCTCAACAAGATTGTTATGAAGGACGTGGTGGTCTATTTGGATCCTTTCCAAGAGTTCCTGAAGGAAAAGAGCGAGACCGAGAACTTGGAAAAGAAGAAGCAGGCAATAGCTCTGAGCGGAGGTACAGAAGACGACAAAACAACGTGGACAGGCAAGCGAATTCGAGCCGACGGCACCGTGGACAGCGGGAGTGCCGGCGCTGGCGTGGGCAAATACATGAAGTCGCAGGGGACCACCGCGACAGATACGGGGGCCAACCTGGATACTTGGGAAGAGCCGGCTAAGAAGAAGGTCAAGAGTGGCGGGTTCGGCAATTTCGATAACTGGTGAGACGTCGCGGCCCAGTTGATGCTGATATAGTTTAAAGACTACGGGAGGAAGAAAAAACATGATACCCCTTTTAGCCTTCTCCATGCGCTACCATACCAGGGCCATATGCGCACGATCTATGTATATGTCTATTGATACAAAGGCAGCAAGCGATTCGACTACGCCTCAGTCAGCTCTCCAGGTCTACACGATCAAGTCTGACGATAGATGTGTCTGTGGCATCCGATTCCAGGATACATCAGACCACGGGACATACACCTCCTTGTCCCGAACCATAAGTGCCACTCCATGGGCTTGCAACAAGCCCGACTCCTCGAGTATTGCTTTCAATCGGTCGACAACAAAGTCCTTAACTTCTTGCGTACAACATGATGATACGCCAACCAAGTATAACGGCCATACGATGGTATTGCTCGCGGAAGCAAGAGTCATGAATCGCTCGGCATCGTTGTTGAGGCCTTTGGCATGCGTTGGATCGTGCAGAGTCGGTCCATTGAAAAACCTTGGACTATGCGGCGAGTCGGCCACGGATGGCGGCGAAGACGACGGCGCAGTTATTGAGGGAGACCGCACAATGCGAGACGGAGACCTTGTTGCTGGTACAATGGCTGACGCTGAGCCGCCGCCTCCAACCATAGCATCTCTGAAGTTGACGACGCCGAAATGTTGAGGAATGCTCGCCAGCACTGTGTCGCAAAGTTTTTCCAGCAACTCGACAGACTTTGCCAGCTGCAATTTTGCTTCGTATGGCCAAAGCATTATGTGCTGGCCATGAAAGCACTTGAAGAGCTCTCCTAGTATGGTCTCGTGCACCATCATTCTTATCGATCGGACGCCATTCCAAGTCGAGGCCAGCCCTAGTGTGGCATATACATCACAGCGGTGACCATCGAACACGGCAGGGTGCGCTGTGGCAAGCTTCACGGATCTGTACTTCCACGTTTCGGGCAGATCGGCGATAATATCCGCAAAGTCTTGGTCAACCTTGGACAGTTGGTTGATGACATCGGCCGTCTGGTTGAGTTTTCCACTGTTTATTTCGTACCGCAACTGCATGACCTTATATATGGGGCCGGATAGTCGCCAGCCAGGATCGGTTCCGCCCGAAAGCATACCAAGCTGGTTCCGGAGGTCGATCAGAGACTGCGGCATGGGCATGTCTCTCTGCATACAGTTGATGAGGACGATCTGCGTCAGCATCATGAACATGCGTGCTCCCGCTCTGGTCCTGAACTGGCTGAGGCCGCGCATTTTCGCCAGAGCAGAGGCACCGTTGAGGTGGTTTTGCCACGCTCTCACCGTCTGGTTCGTACGGCCGCTTAGCATTTCGTAGGTGCCCAGGACGAGGATGGACAACATGGTAGTGTCCTTGACTGCTTCAACCGGATCCCTCAAAGCATCGTTGGTCATTTGAAGAGCGGCGCCATAGCTCTGACGCGACCAGTCCATCATTTCAGGACACATTGTAAGGTGGGAAAGGCCGGCTAAGCCGACAGCAGCAATACTCGCCATCACGCCGTCTGCTTGTCGACTGGGCAGCATGCTGGCAGGACGCCAGACATCAAAGATGAAGTCATAATTCTGATGGCATGCATTCTCGTCCATAGAGACGTAACGAGAGAAGAAAAAGGCCGTGCCGCGCTCTTGATATGAGGGCGACAGAGAGTACAAAGGCCTTGCCTGCGGTGCCTTCGACCAGTACCCGTTTTCCGGAGAAGATGGCGAAAGACCGTCGATGTCGTCGTCGTCGTCGTCGTCGCTCTCGTCGGAGGAGGAAGGCCATCGTATCTGACGTTGCCGATGCCTGATGGTCATGGTCTGCATCGTGGCATCCATGGGACGAGGTGGATATTGGTGCCGCCGAATGCCGGATCTCACGGCCGTTCCAGGATTCGGATCGGAGGTCTCGGGGCCGGTGCTGGCTACCGTATTTTCGGTGGATGATCCGGCGCTCGAGGCCTGTGCATTCTTTAAGCGGCCCCTCGCCTTTGTTTTAGCGGCTTTCTTGATGACGTGGGAACTTTCATCTCGGAACATGAGGTCGACGAGGTTTCGGTAGCCGGGACATTGTTGCTGGCGCTTCTCACACTGGCCACAGCCGGGCTCCCTTTGATCACACTATGGACGTGGTCATTAGCCTCAAGTCAAAGAATCTCCCTCCGAGCGAGAGACTTTGGTAAGCAACATCGAGGGCAGAATTGGCCGCACGAGGTGTAGAATTGTCCGTGCCAACGACCGGGAACATACCCTGACCTTGCGTTCACGACAGTTGGAACAGCCTTTCGAAGGCTTACCGCAGTATACCATGCTGGAGACACAGGTAGCTCACCCAAAGCAGCCAACAAGACGAAAAAAAAAGGGGGAGTCGAAAGACACGACGCGAAGTTGGAAAGGGGCCCGTGTTAGGTTAAGAGCTGAGTAATGAGATGGATCGCTTCATGTGGGTGCCATGATCAGATCAGATCATGACACTGGATCTACTCCGTTATGCAATGGCGATCGAAGCGGAGAGGTGCGAGGCCAAGACTACTGGGCAGAAGATTTAATTTGGGGAGCAAATAACGGGCAGCCCGATGGAAGAGGGGAAACAACGGTCACATCCTCTCAACGGGAGAATCCTCCCGGGTCTTTTGGGGGGGTCGAGAATGCGAGATGACGGATTGCGGCGGCGGAAGGGGGGTCAGGCTTCCTTGATGTGTAGATCAGGAGGGAGAGCGGCTGCAGTCTGTAATTGGGCGTCGAAAGTGTAATTGGCACACACGCACGCCTGGTGCGGTGAAGTACGGCGAGCCGCGAAAGGTCTGGACGACGGGAGGACACGAGATGTGGAGGAGTGAGGAGAGTGAGGAAAGTAAGCCTATGAGGACGGGAAGACGGGCAGACGACTGAGAGTGGGATGTGTGTGCGTTATCGCCTCCGCGGCACCGGCACGCCGCACCAGCAGCTGTCATCTTTTGGTTGCAGTGTTATCCGTACGCTGTTGCACATCGTCTTTTGGCCGCGTCTAGGCCCTTTCGGAACAAATGACCGACCGGGGCTTCGCGGGACTGGAACCCCTCGGAGGAGCTACTGCAGTGACGGACAGTTCATGAGCGCCGAACTGGGGCCATGGGAGCTGCCGAGGTTTGATCCATAGTGATTTTAATTGATCTTTTCCAGGCTTCTTGTCACCGGTCCCAACGGTCGAGCAGCAAATTACAAGCCAGCGGGGCCTTGCCGCGTTGCCGCGTTGCCGCCTTTCTCGGAGACGATCCAACGGCCGTCCCCGATGAGAGTGCGTCCCTTCCGTTCCGGTATGATCCATCACAGGAATCATCATCATCGCCATCGCAATTCGAACCCTTGGGACAAATATACCCCGACGACGGGAATGGCTGCAGCTCGCGTGCGGCGTGCATCGATAGGGCTTCCAGCGGAGCTGAGCCAGGGTTGGATGTTTTAGCTCCGTTTTCCAGGCCCAGCCAGCCCTTCTACGAGATTAGTACGAATACAGTCTACTGCCGCCGGCTGCATACTGCTTTTCAACGGTCTCTCCCAATCCCGCTCCTCGCCAATTCCGGTGGGCTCCACGGGAGACAGTGGCCCAGACCTGCATACCACGCCTCTCTTCCCACAGCGGTGGCCGCCGAAAGAAGGTGACTGGTCGCTTTTCGGGGCAGCACGCCGTGATCTGGCAATCTGTCGGGTTCCCCTGTCGCAGCTCCAGAGGGAAAGGACTGAATCGAAAATATGCCCTGCCCTGTTCAAGTCTCGAACCACGTCTACCGTCAGAGGTGTCACTGCAGAAGAGACACACACAGCCTATGCTCTGCTGTCTATACTCTGTACTAGGTATTGATTGGGTCTGCCGGAGACCTCGTCACCAGACACCAGATCCGAGTCGACGAAAAGCTGCATTTCCTCCCGCCGCATTGGTCTACTGCAGAAAAAGCAACGGGGCCCTGGATCTTGTCTGAGACATACGCCAACTATTCGTGGACCTGCTGCACTCAACAACGATGACGCTACCAAAACTGATGTTCCCCCATCGACCAAGGATGGAGCTGAATAAGTATCGTAGCCAGAGACATGCGGAGCATTGCCGCCGGCAGTACAACTGACTCTGGTTGGACTTTGGCCTCGTTATTCAAGGAATGATGATATATTGCATGTGATAGTTGTATATGCGCACAGCGCTCTGGTATCTACGAATATCCATGCCAAACGCAATCCAAACTTGACCAATCTACCATACCTACACCAAGGATTTCACACGGGCCCAGAGCCTCTGCCTCTTACTCTTAGTATCGCCCCGGCGGCTGTGAATGAGGCGGGTTATTAGACGAATTCCAAATTCTCGGGGAGGTGTCTCGCATCGAAGAGATGGGGAAAAACCACTTACAGTTCCTTTTGCAGCTGCGCTTCTTGCTTCTGCGGTTGCTTTTCTGACGTCGCAGCAGGAGCTGTTGCAGTCTCTGTTGTTACAGCCCCAGCCGCAGCAGACGCAGCAGCCGTTTCGCCGCCGATTCCAACGGTCAGAAGCTTCGGGTTGGAGTCGAAGAGCGATCCGGACTGGTCAGTGCCGTTTGACGAGCTGACGTCGTCGTAGGGAAACGCGTAGCCGCGGCCGTCGGGGCTGACCTCGTGGCAGATGCGCGAGTAGTGGTTCGTCCGGGCGTCCTTGTAGTAGTTGGCCACGCTTTCGCCCTCGGGCTGCCGGCTGTCGATGAGCAGCGTCGACCTGTTGAAGGCCGCCGCGATACGGGCGCCGATGGCTCCCATCTCGGCTTGGTTGCTGGGGTAGCCGCCGAACGGCCCCGTGCTGCAGCTGAAAATGTCGCGGGCGGCGGGCTGGGCGAAGGACCCGACGTCGCCAAACGTCAGGAGGTTGTCTGAACCTACGCGACCCTTGACGTCGCCCCATTCGGCCTGCGTATTGACGGTGAGGTCGGCGGAGCGGTATTTGTCCCACACGGCGTCCACGTAGGGCTGATAGTACCCGTTGAAGAGGTTAGGGTTCATGACGATGCCCGAGTTGGGGCTCAGGGCGCGCAAGTTCGCGGACCCATCCGCCGTGCGCACGACGAGACTGCCCCAGCCTGCGTTATCGGTCGCGTCCTGCGCCTTGAGCCGGTCGCAGATGGTATCGAGGGCGTTGCTCGGGAAGCCCTGCACGTTGGTGACGGTTCCCGCGTCGTTCTCGAGCGTCAGGGACACGGGTAAGCTGACAAAGTCGACGTACGAGATATTGACATACACCTGAAAACTATTGAACGTGAACTCGCAGAAGCCCCAGTTGAGGTTGTAATTCGGGTCCGCCGGGTTGGTCGCCGAGGGCTCCACCACGGCCGGGCCCGGGTTCAGCAAGAACTTGAGCGGGCCGTCCCTGGAGAACCATATGCGGCCGCCGGCGATCTGGGGGATGGTCAGCTTCTTGGTCGACCCCGGCGCGTCGAGCGGGATCGCGCAGTCGACGCCAATGTCCTGGAGGATGTCCGAGGGCGAGCTCGGGTAGTAGCCGGTGACGCCGTCGGCTTGGAGAAGGAAGACGGCGTTGTTGCGGTTGAGATCCAGGCCGGTTACGTGGGCGTAGGCGTTGGCGGAGCCCGTGTTGTTCTTGAGAACGATGTCGAGAGTTGGTCTCGTCATGACTTCTCTTGTTTAGCGTTGTTGGTTGGGAGCGTTTGTGTTGTGTTGTTCTTTGGTGGTTCAGACTGCTTCCGAGCTCACAGGGCTATCGCTGTTTTCCCAAGGAGATGACGATTCAAGCCTTTTTATTCTCAAGACGGCGATCGTCTGGTCCCAAGCCTGATGGGCCCGTACCTTGGATGTCGATGAGCGCGACTATCATGGCTAGGGTGGCCATGTGCAAGTTTTCTCTTGTGCCCCCTGCCCTCCAACAGGATTTACAGGTGACTATTGGGTGGCTCGACTGTTATAAACAGCAGTACGCGACACGCAAGTGTGATGTGTTGGACTCTCCCTCCCTCGCTGGATATGACGGAATCGTCGACATGGATAGGCGGGACTAGTCGCTCTAGACCCACTAGCAATGGACGTGTTTTCCTGCCCGGTTTTTTGGACGAGACGGCTCCACGCCCGGCCGGCAGACTCCATAAAGCTCCCTCGTGGACGTGGGCGCGTTGTTGTGCTTCGATTTTCGAGGACTGGTGGAGTGTAAGAAAACAGCGCGGTTCTCTTCACGCCTAGTCCAAGCGGGAGGGGAGCGTGGATGCAGACAGTGTGCTCGCTCGAAGAGGTATTAGGAGGTGTCCAGATATTCCTCATCCACGAAGCACTCACAGCACTCAACACCAAGCCAACCATCTATCTGCGCGATTCTGCAGTCAGAGCCACAAAACCTGGGGTAGAATGTCTCGGCCGGGCTCTTTTTTGCCTTCTTTGCGGGGGTGAGAACGATCACCCGCACGGGATGGATGAAGAGACTCAAGAGAGTATTGAAGGTGCGCCCCTACCCCCGGTGACGCTACGAAAGCTGAGGGAGCCTCTGAGACGGACGGTGAGAGGCCAGTGGCCGTCGATCCCACCTTGTCCATGTGCCTCTTTTTGGGGATGGAGGGGCCATGCCTGTGCGGGCGGCTGATCCCCCAAGAACGACCCCAGACACACAAAGACCTTGAAATAAAACAGTTTTTGGAGACGCGTTTTCTGGAGAATCGCGAGACATCGATGCTGTCTGCCGGTAGGTTAGCTCGTCTGGCTGTCAATGTTGGGTCAGATGACGGCCTTCAACTAATGGGTTGACCTAATGCTTACCTGCTTAGTGCGCAACGATGATGATTCGCCTCATAGGATTGTTGTCGGTCACGGAGGTGTTGCAATGGCCCACCTCTTAGACCTGTTCGGTGGGTCGAAGGTAAGAATACAAGACGCGGAAAGGGATAAATTTCCTTTTATACAACGACCCAATAGTCTCCCAATAGTCCGGTGGTCACCGATCTATCGACTCCCGACAGTCAAAAGTCAAAGGCCGGTGCCACAATGGCGCCCGCCTCATCATGAGAACTGTTCTTCACTCAGGGAACCAAGCACTGGGCATGTCAAAGCGTCTGGTGATGGGAAAGCCCTCAAACGGTGGGGTAAGGGATGAAAAAGAGTACATTGGTTATGATTCGTGGGCATCGTGAGTAGTAGTAAGTAACGACATCATCTGATAAACAAAGGGCGTAATCATGTGACGGCCTGTCCGCCCTCTCAAGTCAACGCATCACCCAAAGACGCCTAGGCCATGCTACGCTGGTAAAAAGATAAGAGTTCGTAAGCTCCCAATTCCGAAAAAGACGACCGACGAATCAAGCTGTCGGGACGACGGGACGAGAAACGTCAGAGGAACCAAATCCCCAAAACAAGTAAGCCGACGACTAAGGACCATGACGGCGCTTCCACTGTCCCAGCAGCGGCAGCAACACCCTCTCCGGGGCCGGGTGTTCCAGACACGGTCTGATTGTTGGTCATGTTCGTCTGCTTCGTAAAGAAGAAGTCGGGAGCGTCCGGGATGATGCACACGGCGTCCGGCGCCATCGGATCCGCGCACCGGCCCTCGTAGTCGGCTTTTCTCGCATCCAGTGACGAGTTGAAGTAGGCCCTGACCGATGCCACCGTCAAGATAGCGTCCTGCTTGGGCGGGCCCCCCGACCAGAGCGGGTTCCCGTTGCTCCAATGCTGGAGAATCAGGTGGCCGCCCTCGGTGGGCACGGCGCTGCCGTTCATGGAACCCAGGATCTTGCCGTCAGCGTAAAAGGTGACGGCGTTGGCGAGGTAGTCGATGCGGTACTCGTGGAAGTTTGCGGTCGGATCGAAGCCGAGGTTGACATTGAGGAAGTTGCCCGTGCCGGCGGCGTTGTAGCCCTTTTCGAGCGACGCGCGGGACTGGAGAACGATGTTGACAGGATAGGTGTTATTTGAAGAGTTGAACTCTCTTGTGAGGAACTCCATGTCGATCTCTTGGGTGTCGTTGTGGTACTATCATTTGTGTGAGTGGACTTGCTCAGAGATGCTCAGAGATGTATGAGTGCATCATCTGATGCAAAGGGGTGTCGACAACGTACCCAGAAAAAGGCAGCACACGTCCCAGCAACATCCGGCACCTTCATCATCGCCCGAAACGAACCGTAACGCACATCTTGCCGCGCCGAGTCGATCTCCGCACCGGGCACCAGACCATCTGTCGTGGCGCTCTCGACGAGCAGCTGCAGCCCGGCGTTCGCCTTTGTCGAGCTGAGCCCGTAAGAACTTGATCCCTCGTGGACGGCGGCGACGTTGCTCGGCATAAACTTTTCTCCCAAGGGCCCGCGGGCGTTTGTGTTGGTCTTGTTGAAATCCTGGCGTGCCCAGTCCGTGTTGTTCATGATATCCTTGACTTTTGTGAAGTCGGTCTCGATCAGGTCGGTAAAGACCTCGAGGGTGCCGGTGATGTTGGTGGCATACCCGCATTCGCAGGCTGCGCGGGTGAGGGCTGGGAGCAGACAAGCCGCAAGCAGACACGCTGTCGTAGGGTTTTTCATAGTGATGTGTGCAAACTTTGTAGATGTACAGAGGGATGGAAGCAAGATTGTCGTGGTGGCTCGTGTAAGTGACGTGAGCCCGCGAATGTATCTACTACTGCCAGAGAAGTACAAGCATCCAAAGTTTGGACAGACAAGAAGAGCCAGCTGATCTGAGCACGTCTGTGACCAGTCAAGACGTGCAGAGAGGCCAGGGATGATGTTCAGACGAGGGGTGAGAGACGAGTGGAAGAGCAGACAGAGCAACAGCGCAAAATGGCGCACACAGGATGGGAGACAACAACAACAAAAACAACAATAATAAATCGATGAGCAGGCAAATACAAAAACGATGGGTGGACGGGGATTGTCGGTTGACTATGTAGTAGCTCGAGAGCCGGGGGAGGCAACGCAGTGCAACAAAGTCATCGTGCCTCTCTCTGGCTGGACGGATGCTTCATCTACAGAGCCGAGATGTAATCCTCCATCATCTTTCCCGATGGAGACAACCATCACATACTTAACGCCCCTCGACGGCCTCTGGTCCACGACCGGACTCGAAGTCAGGAGCACACTGGGGCTGGCAAGAACCAAAGGCGGACAAAGGGCAGCCTCGACGTTCGACATAACGGCATCGTTATCAACCGTTACTCAGGTGGAAGAACAGAATCCATCATGGATAGCATACAAAGATGGCCCATGTGGCTATGATAGACTGCTGGTGTCTCAAACTTGCCTCCCGCCGTCACCGCCATACCAGAAGCAGCTTGAAACATGAACACGGGTAAGAATAGACCCCATGGAACAAAGAAGAATCGTTGGTAGCGCGGGCAGATATATCAGAGTTTCCCCTGTCCAATTCTCTTCGGGTTGGGCTGGGTTTTATTTTGTCGGCGGCGGCCAGCCACATATCGCGTTGCGTCGTATTCTATGCCCTGCAGGAACCCGCGCAACACCTCACCCCACCTATGACGGCACGAAGCATAGAGTAAACTAGAGCCCTAGGTCGGGTCTAAAGACCAAAGAAGCTTTTCCCACTGCCATCTCTCCCCCTCTCTCCACTAAAGTATAGACATGGGCGGGGTGGGTGCCAAAGCCACCAGGTTAGAAACCCCGCCGATGGGGGCCGGCTGTCTCAGAGAGGAGAGAACAATGAAAGCTGCTTCGTTGGCCACTGGTTCCAAACTGCTTCGTCGAATCAAGCGAGCTCCTCCATTTCGGGGCAAGACGAGGTGGAACTTGGTAGAGTCAAGGTGGCGGGAAAAGGGTTCTTGTTCAACTTCATGATGTGTACGACGAGCCTTCGACAGCTGGAAAGAGGCCCCCAGACGAGAAGCATCCGGCCAAGAGGTATCAGAAGCATCGAGGCACCGAAGTATACCCAAATCGACTGTTCCGCTGTTGGGCCCTCATTTGATAGATGGCACTTGCAGGGTGCAGAAGGCGCCGCTTCCCGCGGAAGTTGTGTATCATTCCTGTTGGGATTCGGTTGGCGAGGCCTTCTCGATTCCTAATAGGTATATTAGGGCAATACTAGCGGCATATCGGCATTGCCTGTCTTTCACACGACCAATAAAAGACAGCAGACGTGATTCCCCCGCGCCCTTCTTCACCGAGTAGCTAAAAGTATATCGGCTACATCCATCAAGTTACGCTGTCGCTCGGGGGCCTCACTTAGCAGACTTGCTGGTACTCCAGTATTGTAGAATGAGGGCATACGGCTGTGCTGGCTTCTCATGATACACCCGCTCGTCTTCTTAACATGAGACTAAACCCCAGACTGCTCTTAGCGTCAGCCCCAGCGCCTATCAATCCTTCCTTTGTTATGCTTACGCTCAACGTCACAAACCTGGCTTCTTTGTTGCCTAGCCAGACTTTTTGGTGGGGAAAAGGATTCCAGCGCACATTGCAGAACGTTTGATGGAATGTTGATAATGAGCAGGCACAGACACATAAATCTCTCAGAGTCGCCTCCTTTCAATCTCAAGAGAAGTATATAATGCCAATGAGAAGTGATATTCTGAAGTATGGTTAACGGACAGGAAACTATTTATACACTTGTGCTCAACATCTTTTTTCTCTCCATCTCTCATTAAGCCAGGCTTGATCTGAATACCTAATCCAAGGTACACCTCCAAGCCAGCTGCCGTGAGCAACCGCCTTCCTATCCGTTCCGCTCATGCCAAGACAAAATTTACACAGCAGACAATCGATTCAGAATAGGCGTAAATTCCAGGATAAGCAAGTACTGCAATCTGTATATCGAACAAGGTATCTGAGCAAAACGAAGCGAAAGAAGTTGATGGTAGGAAACAGTACAAAACAAAGCAGGAGAGAGAACAGAGTAGAGATCAACAGGCAAACGCAGTATCGGCAGATAAGACGGACGAAGGAAAAGAGAAAGATGAAATGGATATCAGCAGCACAAAACATTAGTATGAGCTAATAGAACAAACGCGCAACAGTCATCACCAAGCCCACCCTGGACCAGCCAACAGTGCCCTAAGGCAGTCTCTGGGATGCGTGAGCAAGGCCCGAATTATCCCAATATCCTAGGATCGCTTTCCCCAGGAATCCGTGCCGAACCCAATGCCCCCCACCCTTCACCGTTTACCTGCCCAGTTGTTGCCGTGACCAAGTCCAATGCTGGGACGCTCAAAGGAAAATCAAGCCAAGGAAACAGGACACTAAGAGACCAGCTGAGCAGACTGGTGTGCGCGTAATAATCATTCCAAAATTCAGAAACCTCTCATCTGTGACGCCTGTCCCCCGCAAAGTCAAGGGGGAAAAGCCTCAGACCGAGAGGGAGTGTTCGATGAACCACTCCAGACCGTTACGCCAGAAATCAACCTGTCAGACAAAGAGGTATATGCCAAGGAGAATAAAGCTCAAGGAAATAGCGAAAAAAGAAAGAGACATAGGAGATCGTTCATTCATCTCGCAACTAGTACACGCTGTCCTCATCGGCCCCTTGCGAAATCATCGAAGGGGTCGAGACGCTCGAGGAAGCTTCCATTTCGACCTGGTAGCCGACGAGTGCTTGTGCGTGCAGGCGGAAGGATTCGCCCATAAGTCGGGTGATTCTGTCTTCTTGTTAGTCTTGTTGTCTTTTGTTCAGTTGTTTCAATTCACTTACCCCCAGACCACGACTTCGTCCAACATGCTGCCCCACAATCGGGCAACAACAGAGCTAAGCTGGGAAGCATATGCCTCGTCGAGGTCCTTGTCGAAAAGCTGTCGAACCTTGTTGTACATGACCAGTTCCTCCTCTGTGGCCGGCTCTTCGTCATGTTCCAGACGGTAGAGCCAAAGCGAGAGTACGATCATTAGGTCGAGTCCACACAAGGCATGCTCGACGCTCCAGTTGGTCGGCGAAGTCCGAGCAACCCAGCGCACGCCCTGGACCACTGCAATCTCGATACAGTTGTAACATTCCTGAATGACTTTGATCATCTCACTGGTTCGCTTCACACGATCCCGCGCGGCTGACATAGCAGCCGCGACCTCATAGGAGTCGTGGTAGCGTAGCGCCTCTTGCACGGATTTCAAATCAACTTCCAACCTAGTCCTGGCGTTCCGGTATAAAGCCTTGGCGTTGAAGATGAGAGGGTGTCCCTTGTGAGGAGCACTCAGTGGGACTGAGACAGTTTCAGGCTCGCAGTGCTCGCAGGATTTCTCCCACGTCTCCAGCGCGAGCCTGAGCTTGTACTCGGTCACAACATCCTGAAGTGCCTCGGGACTGCGCTTGTGATACCACACTTCAAGGAACAGGGCGTTGATCATTACCCGCGACGCAAACGCACTGTACCTGAGTGTCTCTCCCTGGAACAGGTTGTCGTGCGCCTCCATGAAAGTGACCACAGGCGATGCCTTCAAATGCTCATACCAAGAAGCCTCATCCGTGACCTTGAGGTTCCAGAGTCCCTCGGTTGAAGGGAGCTGCAAGTCCTCGAACTCGTTGAAGCTGATTGCTGGTGTATGGTTGTACGTCAGCGTCAGCAGGCCAAAGAAGATGTAGACCGCATAGTAGGTGCGTCGGCAACCTTCATCCTCGATCCACTCATTGCGCGTAGGTTGAGGGCTGGTGCGAGCTTCCTGACGAAGCTTGAGCTCATAGCGGTTTCCCGCAACCATGTTAGCGAGCAGACTCTTGATGGAACAGGCCCACTCGAGTCCCTTCGGATCACCACTCCAACTGGCGAAAATCATGTTGAGGAGCGAACCCTGCATCGTCCACAGAGGACACTTGCGCGAGCTGAAATTCTCCTTGTTCTGCAAGAACTGATTGACAAGCACCTTGGATCCGATGTGCAGCATGTAGGCCTGGTCCTGATCGAACGCATAGAGCGCACCAATGCTCAGCACTGCGAGAAGCAGAGCCGGAGACACCTTGGTCGAGTCGAAGGAGGCGGGATGCAGGAATGGGAGATGGTGGTGGAACAGCCCAAAGTACGTGGACAAGAATCGGTTCAGGGAAGCCAGGGAGGGGAGACGAAAACCATCGGGGATAGCATGCTCAGTGTCTTGGGAGCGGATGTTGTCTAGAATCTGGTTGCGCTCATCGTCGCTTGCAACCTGAGGGGCCCGGAAACCGACAGTTGATAACGTCGCCTCGGTGATGAAAGGGCTCTGCGGCACAGGCGTACCAGCTTCAGAGTTCGGCAAGGAGTTGATCATGGACTGCAGCGCCGGGACGAGGCCGTTACAAGTCTGTCCGTTGACGGGTGGCAGCTGAATATTGCGAGGTTGCATGGTGCTGGCGCTGTTGAAAGATTGCTGAGACTCAAAGGAGCCAGATGCTGACGATGCGATCGAGGGCGCCTTTGCTTCTGAAGATTGAGACATGAAGCTCTCCCACTGCGGAACAGGTATGGCACCTGAGGGATACGCAGCAGTCGATTCCATGGCATGTGGCGAGTAAGGCATCGAGGGACTACCTCCTGCGCGTGCGCCGGCGGCGGCCTTGTGTTGAAAGTCTGCAACCAGCATGGCAGCTGTCTCAAGGTCGAAAGTGCCGTCGT